TATTATAAATATTATAAATATTATAAATATTATAAATATTATAAATAAAATAAATAAAATAAATAAAATAAATAAAATAAATAAAATAAATAAAATAAATAAAATAAATAAAATAAATAAAATAAATAATAATTTATAATAAAATTTAAAAAATATATATATATTAGTTTTTTTTTAAATATTATAATATATTTTAATAAAAATTTATTATATAAATTAATCAAAAAATATAAATAATAAATAAAATAATATAAATAAAATAATAAAATAATAATTAATAAATATATTAAATATTTAAAAATAATTATAATATATTTATTAATAAATTTATAATAATATATTTTTTAATTTTTTAAATAAATTTAAAAATTTAATTAAATATTTTAAAAATATTATAAAATAATAATAAAATAATTAAAATATATTAAAAAATAAATAATATATTTATAAAATATTTTTAATTAATTTTATTAATTTAAAATCTATTAGCGTAAGGTTAAAATAACTAGTGTAAAGTTGAGATGCAAAGTTAATAAAGCTTTACTTTTAACATATTAAAAATCTTTTAACACAAAACCTTACGTAAATTTAAGGTATAATATTAATTGGTTTTTAAAAGTAAAAATTATAAAATTTACTTTTATTAATAATGTTTATTTTAATTAAAAATAATATATTAAAAAAGCTTTTTAAAATGCGGCGTTAAAAAAATAAAAAAAGTTATAATATTTTTTAATTTAAAAACGCAAAAAAATATAACTTTTTATAATGTAAATAATTATGTAAATATAAATAAAATATTTAAATATATATTTTTAATAAATAAAATAAATTTTTTAACTTATTTAATAAAGTTTAATATTAATTTTACTTTGTTAATTTAAATATGATTTATAAATAACTTTATAATAAAATATATAATAAAAATTAAAAAAGTAATAAAATATTTATATGATATAATAAAATAATATATATAATATTATATATTTAATAAAAATTATTTATATTATAAATTTAATAAGATTAAATTATATAACGCGGTAAATATTAATTATATTTTAAATTTAACTATTAAAAAATTAACCATTAATTATATGTTTTTTATAATTAAAATATTTATATTATAATTGTTTAAATTATAAATAATTATTGTTAAAAGTTTAAAAAAATTTAAATATGTTATATTTGTTATTATTATTGTTAATATAACGTGGATTTATAATTTTTTAAAAAAATTAAAATATATATTTAAAAAATTGGTTATATTATTATATAATAATATAATAATAATTAACTAATCGAAAAAATTAATAGTAAATTGTTAGAAATAATATATATAAAAAAACTATTATTATATAAAATAAAAGGTGAAAATTAACCATATTATAATACGACATATTAATAAAAAAAAATTTAACCAATAAATTTATTAAATTTTTAAATAAAAAAATATTATAAATTTATAAAGTTATTAGGTTTAAAAGATTAAAAATAACCTTATAATATATTCGAAAAAACATATAAAATATATTTGTTTTATAAATAAAAATACGTAATAATAAAAAAATTATAATAATTAATTTAAGTTTTATTATATTAATAAAGCCATATATAAATACCGAATTTTTATAAACTTTAACTATATATATAATAATATACATAAATATTATTACATTTTATAATTTTTTATTTTAATATTATAATTTTTATATTAATTTAAACTATTAAACAATATATATTATATTATTTTAAAATTAATATTTATAAAATTATCGTTAAATTTATATATATAAATATAAATATATGTAAATACGGTTATTTTTAATTAATTAAATATTAATATTATAAAAATAACCGTATAAAGTTTAAAAGTATATATCAAATTGTAGTCTGTAACCTTTTACTTATCTTAGTTTAATACGCGATCTTTTTTTTCATTTTGGCACAGTACCCTGTCTGGTCAACCGTATTAAAGCCTACCTATGTAGTACCTAAGCTGCTCGTTTAGTTATTTGCATATCATGTAAATTAGGTATAATAATTGGCATATAAGATTAGCTTTGTACCTGACTTGCTACTGGACCAAACACCCAAGGCTGTGCATGCATGCGACTAGGAAAGGCCTATCTGCACCTGCTATATATTAAGATATCTTTGGTTTCACCCCATTTCCGCGACTTTAATTGGTGTTAGTAGGGTCATATAAAATATTATATGTACTAAGCGTTTGGGGTTATGGTGTTTAGTTCTGCCAGCTGAAAGAGACTACGCGATAGATATCTAGACATTAATCATATCAAACCTTTACATATATAGTTTTGTGTGAGGTTGGTTGGTTGGGATTTGGTTATCTAAATATCAATATTGATGTATTAGGGTCGATATTCTGAAGAGCATCTTGCCTAGCTATAGGTGAAGCTCGTATGAATTCGTATCACCGATGATTGTTCATCGATTACCCTGGCTGTGAATAGGACAATACTCTTGTATTATCACAAGATATTGGTACAGATGATCATCGTTGCATATCCTTCCTCGTCCCTCACGAGTCAACATCCATCTGTTCTCCCTCTGCAGACTCTAGCTCTTGCACGCTGACGTATTTTCCGATCTCATCTTTGGTGATAATCTTTTCGTTAAGTACTGCTGTGGTACCGCGCTTGAATTTGTAGTTCTTCAGTTTCTGGCTACGCTCGTTCGGCTTGACGAAGCCACGATGTAAGGTGGTCTTGTCTGCGGTAATGACGGCCAAGTCAACGTTCGATCCGGAACCAAGATCGTTGAAGATACCGGCTTGAATGGCTTGTGAACAGAGCTGCATGGCATCCTCCTTGGTGCTGTTCGGCTTCCACTGAGATTCGAAAACGGACATAGCTGCCAGCGATCCAGAACCCATGGTCACATAAGGAAGCTTATCCGTGCTACCGTGGGCATGAACAGTGAACAAGTGAGTTCCTGTGGGGTCAACACCGGCAACTACTAGATACGCTCCGATGTGACCTTGGTATCGGAAGAGGTGCTGCTTGAGGAGGGTCATGCAAGTAACGACGCGGGGTTTCCGACCGGTCGAAAGAGAGTGCAATTCGAGTTGAGAAGAGATAAGAGCGGTGGTGAACTCTGTATCAGCGGCGGTACCGGCACCAGCGCACCAAATTTGGGGTGAGATGTAATGTAGCTTCTCGCAGTTCTTGTCAGCGACGATGGGACCGCTGGTAGCTCGAGTATCAGCTGCGATCTGTTTGTTGCCAGCCTTGCATTAGTGTCATCATTATTAACGGGGAGCTGGTCGTGATATTAAAAAATGACTGACCACAACGCCTCCATCGAATATACACCCGACGATCGTAGTACCCGTACTGGTCGCCTTTGGCAGCGGGACACCTCGGGCGTGAAGAGCCGCATTGCGATTGTAGTTTGAGAAGTCGAAACCAGGCATGCTGGCTTGTTTTGTGGCGGTACTCTTTTTTTTTCTCTTCAGGATAGGTTGAGGTATAGAACTTGGATGCGATCTGGTGTCCAGCGCTTAAGTGTTGGTATCGTAAAAAGTATATCAACTGGTGGTAGTTGGAATCTTGAATTTAGATCCAAGTACGAAGTAGCACGAAGGTAGAATGCCGTTATTTGCTGCGAATTGGGTACAATAAGGCGGATGACGACCAGGACCTAGCTGCCTGCATTGGTCCTTGCCTTCAATGCTCTTCTAGCTATTACAGTGCACGCGTTCTGCCTGCCTAAAAATACTGTACGTAAAATAATGTATTTAACTACTTTAAATATACATTATAAAACAAAGAATAGTGGAGAGCTTTTCAAGTACATAGTAAGTATGGGGTACTTTGGTGGGCATAGTAACCAATCCTAAGCTCCGATGCGGTAGCAGGGGTAACGCGAACGTCTGTAGGTAGGTACGTTCCTATGTAGACATGCAGGTGGTAATTTACCTGTTAGGCGCATCTCGTCTTAGAATTTTGAGCTCGACTTTCTCTCATGCCAACTGTAAAATACATTTCATTGTTATTATCTTTTTTAGACCACTGTCACATGTCCTCCTCTATGGAGACAGGCCTGTTTGCCTGAAAGATACCTTTACACTCGAAAGTGTTCTAATAAGGCGAATACCGAATAACTAGCTTGATCCGCAAGCTTTGTTCTCTAAACCAACTGAAGATTCTGATACGAGCAACTCTGTCTACTGTTATGATAGCTAGTATTCCATGAATACCTTCTCGTAAAATTAGTATCCCAATTTGCCATAGCAATGGCATTCAGCTTTGGAAACGTGGGACAGACAGTTGGGGATGCCGCCCAAGGGCCACCGGAACCTATTCAGACCGAAGCCCTCGGATTCCTGTCGTTGTCTGGTGATGCTAAGCTACGTTTAACGTCGCAGTGGTCTCCGCCCCCCTCTAATAATGCTTCCCTTCTCAGCATTGCGTCGCGACAAGGTCTTGTTGCCGCTGCCGGTCCTGATGGTGTCGTGCTGGCCACCACGGAAGCCGTTCGAAAAGCATTCGATAGCCCTAAAGATGGCGATGATGATATCCGAGCTTTCGAGCCTCCATTCACGTTACCATTACCTATTCGAATATGTCAATTGGCTTTTACGACTGACGGAACCTATCTGATATTGTCAGCCGAGGAGCGTGGAGGTTTAGCGGTATATGAGACCCAAGCCCTGCAGCAAGGCTCGACTGAGACCGCTTTCGAAATACCCACGAATGGCGAGTCACTTAGGGCTTTGGTACCGAACCCTAGCCTGGAGAAGAGCGAACTATGCGCCATTGTGACGAACGAAGGCAAACTTTTGATGGCGAACATGAAGGAGCGTGGTTTTGTATCACAACCCACCGGACAGGTTCTGAGGAACCAAGTTAGCTGTGTCGCTTGGAGTAATAAGGGAAAGCAGTTGGTGGCTGGCCTTGGTGATGGTACTATACAGCAAATGACACCCAATGGTGAAGTCAAGGCGGATATTCCTAGGCCACCGGATTTGGATGCAAATTACTTTGGTAGGTCCCTTGTTTACATTCGATAACTTTCTAAACTAATAGCCACCTAGTTTCGTCTTTGGTTTGGCTCGAGAACGATCTTTTCCTAGCATTCCATGTGCTTGCCTCAGAAGAGTCTCCCCAGACTAGATGCCATCTGATCACAAGACAAGGGGATAATTTCCAATTCCAAAAGCTCAGCGACCCGGTAGAGCCCTTTGGCAGCAACCGGACTCCCCATCATACTCTTGTGCGGTTGAAGGACTTCCCACCAAATCTTCAGGACCTCCTTATTTGCTCCTCGACAGCTAGAGAAGATATTGGTCTTTTTACGCGTTCGAAGACGCCGCTAGCTCCAGGTGCCCCGTCGAATATCTTCACCACCACAGAGTTAGCCGATGATTCTAAGCGGGCCACTTTACCAATGGGCGAAGGTATGGAGACCCCGGCAGTAATTGGTACAGCTCTCGATTTGTCTAGTCGGGAGAAGGTTTATAAACCTATACCTACTGATGAGATAGATCAATCGCCTGGTCCATTACCAGGTTATTGGGCTTTGAATGCTGAAGGTGTACTTTCTGTTTGGTGGGTTGTATATTCCGAATCCATTAGGGGCGGGACTACATATCCGGGGATTATAGCTGTAGAAGGCAATACGGCGGGCTCTACCGAAACGACAACCCCCAAACCCGTTCAACCAAACCCATTCGGGGCCTCAAATCCTCCTGCTTTTGGAGCCCCGTCAGCAGCAGCTGGGACGGCGTTTGGTAGCACCTCAACATTGGGCTCAAAGAGTTCGCCCTGGGGGGCTCAGCCTTCCTCTGGTGATGCTAGTAAGATTGCATTTGGATCGAATACTTTTGGCGCCGGTACTGCTCCCGCGGCGCCGAAGTTCGGTACACCTGCATTTGGCACACCAAGTTTTGGTACTAGTCCCGCACCGGCATTTGGGCAATCTACCGGGCTCGGTACAAGATCTTCGCCTTGGGCTTCAGGGTCTGCTTCAACTGGCACGCCTGCTTTCGGTCAATCGGGCTTTGCTAGCATCGCTAATAACTCTAATAATGCGGGCGGAGCTATGGGATCGTTCGCAGGCTCAAACTCCAGTGCCGCGGATTCAAGTAGTGGGTTTGCTAGTTTTGCAAACAAGGGCGGCTTTGCTTCCATTATAACTAATAATACTTCTAGCGGACCGAGTATATTCGCATCTACGAAGCCGGATGCGCCTGATATCTCTATGGACACAGATACTAGCTCCGTATTCCGGGCTCCAAGCTCTAAGCAGAGTACGGGGACTGGAAATGTTTTTGGGTCGCAGCCGTTTAAATTGACGTCTAGTTTTCAACGTGATCCGAATGCAGGAGAAAATGATACTGACGAAAAGACACCGAAGACGGAGAAGCTGTTGTTCGGCTCGGGCTTCGCAGCTACAATAGACGAATCAGCAAAGCCTGTAGCCACGGGTCCATTCGCGACCGGGACAGGGAATCCCTTTTCGAAGCCAGCACCATCATCGAATGCGGAGTCAACTACGCCAACATCGACGCCCGCGCCATCCAAATTCATATCCCCCACCTCGTCGGCGCCGCAAGGCAAAGGAATCTTCGGATTTCAACCGAAAACTCCTAGCGGCCTTAGCACCGTTTTCGGTTCTTCTGTCTCTCAGACACCAACATCTGAAACTCCTCAAGTGAAAACGGAGCCAGAAACTCCTAAGCCCCTTAAAGGTATTCTAGACGCACCTCTTCCTCCAGAGTCTACTAGCAAAGATGCTTACTCATTAGGCGACTCGACATCATCTGCCACTTCAGAAGTCAAAGATACGCCTCCCAGGGCCGAAGGTGCACCTTTACCCCCTGACTTTGCCGACTCAACTCCTAAGCAGGCGGACCAGGAGGCCTCACGCAAAGCATTACCTGTTGCTAACGACAGTGCACCTCTACCACCTGATCCTGTCTATAATAAGAAGGCCTACGACGCTCCTCTACCCCCGTTGCCTGTGACTGTTACTGAGGCCAAACCTGTCGATGACTCGCCCCTACCACCGGATCCTGTAAAGCAGCCGAAAGCTTACGAAACTAAGTTACCAGCACTTCCCATTGCTAAGCCAGTATCTGAAGTTATTGGGCCTGGATTCAAGTTTCCAACAAACCCTCCTCCTGTTCCGTCGGATAGTGAGGATGATGACCTATCTGAAGAGGAGGAAGAGGAGGAGGAAGGCACTGAGGCTGTTAGTGAAGGTAGTGGCGTCGATGTCGCTAAAGATCTCAGCCCTTCTAGTACGGGTAATAACAAGACCCCTGGGTTTACACCCCAAAGCTCTTTTGATGGTTTGGCAGGAAGCTTCACTACTATATCCCGCCCAGATCAAGACCGGCGAAACGTCTTTGGCGAATTGAGCCGGAACGCTCCAATTTTCCCCCAACCAAACCCAGTTAGCCCCCGCTCACCAAGCCCAGTGCGAGGCTCAGTACCGACGAGAATGCTCGGCAGGGACCAGTCGCGATCGTTTAGTGCACCTGGTATGGCATCTCAAATTCTTGGTGCATCTAGACGACAGCAATCCCAGCTCGGTCCCTCGGTTCCCAACGCCGCCTATCTTGAAGATATGATCGAGAAGCAACGGAAAGCAAAGGCGAAGAAGGATGCCGAGGAAAAGCAGTTGCTTCTTGACGAAGAGGATGATGTTGTCCAAAACCTGCTGAAAGCAGAACTCAAGCCAACGTTGGAGCTTGACGAATTCATTGCACACCCAGGTGCAGTGCCACCAGCAGGTGATAGTGTGCCTTCGCAAGTCGAGGCTGTATATCGAGACATCAACTCAATGATTGATACACTTGGTCTTAACGCACGATCTCTCGCGAGCTTCATTAAGGGGCACAGAGAGCTCTATGCTAAGGAGTATACGAGACATGACTTGGCTATCCTAGATGACTGGACCCTAAACGGACTTGAGAGCTTAGCTCACATTATTGACCATGATCTAACCAATGCCCTCGAGGAAGCGAGAGTGAGGGACGTAGCGGGAAAGCTCGTAGAATGCGAAGATATCCAACGTGAGCTTACTCGCGATCGTAACAAGCAGGCGGACCTCAAGAAAATTATTAGCTCGCATGTTGATCCAGAACAAACTATTGCAAATCGTAGTTTACCTCTTAGTGCCGAACAGGCAGCACAACAGAGTGATTTACGACGAGAGTATGCAAAGTTTGCAAAGGTATTAACGGAAGCAGAGGAAAACCTAACCCTGCTCAAGGCTAAGATCGTTTCTGCCAACAGCGCTAATGGGAAGGGTGGTCCAACACCGACTATCGAAGCGGTTGTGCGCACCATTACTAAGCTGACCACCATGGTCGAGAAACGTAGCGGCGATATCGACGTCCTCGAGAATCAGATGCGAAAGCTGGGTGTCAGTTCGCACGGCCCAAACAGTCGCGAGGGCTCGCCCTTCGCCACGCCAAACGCTAAGAGACTATCCACGTCAGTATTCTCTCCAGAACGCTCAATGCGGGAGAGCACACCGCAACGTGGCAGTGTGTTCCGTCACTCGGTATCAGGGAGTATCGGCGGAGGCATGTTTAACACACCGCCACGCAAGAAACTGAGCGGCTTTGGGGACGTAGAGAAGAAGGCTGTGAAGGAAAAACGGGAGCGTAGGACGGCTGTACTCGGAAAACTTAGGGGTAGCCTCCAGAAAAAGGGGGCGGGTGTCTGGGCTGTGGATGATATTGAATAGGAATCACATATCGGCAGGTAGTAGCTACGGTCACGATCAATGATAAGAATAAGTTACGAGATCGGGGCTTTATATGTTCGAATTTGTAGGAGGTAGTATTGGATGCAGAAATGTTTTATTACAACAAATATGTATTTCTAAGGTACAATGAAGTTGCCTAAGCACCACACATATTTTCTCTAGTTGCAAGGTCAATTAATTGTAAGCTTATGCTAGTCAAGAAGTAGTTTCTAAGTATCCTAGGTTTTCTAGCTAGGTTAGGTATAGGCCCGACAGTACCACACCGCACCACACTCGCCATGTCATCTCATCGTTCGACAAATGCCATTTTTCGGGCTGGGTATAATACAGACACATGCACGGTAGCCAGCCCACGTTACTCCTCCTGACACGAGGGCCACAGCCGGAAGCGCTCCCCCCAACAACCAAACAAGAGTAATAGTAGTAGTTAATAGAAAACCCAAACACGAGCATTTACACGAAGCCTGCAACTCCACCACTAACGGCCTCCAACCTCGCAACGAGTTTCTTGACATTAGTCCATTCTTCGCTCCTCACCGCCTCCTTCCCACCCAGATCGGGCCCAACTTCAAACACACTGACAACAGCATCAATACCACCAGTCGCCAGCTTCTTACCCTCACTAGTTTCCCAAGCAATCTTATTCAGACTCTTGCTGAGTAATTGCCGTCCGTCCTTCCGAGGCGTAGGACTAATCTTAGCGACTGGGATCTCTGTCTCGACAGTAATATCCCAGAGTTCCAGGGAGCCTGCACCATCGACGAGGGCGAAGACGCCGGGGCGCACAGGGGACCAGGCGGCGTCGTAAACGACGTCCTCACGCACGAAGTCTAGGAGCGGGGGCACGGCGGTCCCGGCGCTCTCGACGATGGTGCTTGTTGCGGCGGGGGCGCGGACTTTCCAGAGCTTGACGGACCAGTCGAGGGAGGAAGAGAGGACCAGGTCACCTAGGTCTACGGGACCGCGGGCTGGGTGGAAATCGACGCTCATGACGGGGGCTGCGTGACCCTTGTAGGAAACGCGAGAGTCAACACCTGCCTTGGCGCCGGCACGGTCGTACCGGTGGCATGGGTAGATAGGGCCTTCTTCCGAGCCCACGAGGAAGTATGTTGGGTCTGCTTGAGGGAAAGCCATTGTGGTTGGTGCGAGATCTTCAAACTTGTTGGGAGGTGGTGTTGTGAGGGTAAGTGATTCTTGCGGCTGGGAAAGCATATCAACGCTCCATACGCAGAAAGCGCCATCAGTAGAAACTGAAATGACATTGTTCGCATTTTGTGTACCAACAATATCGACGGAATAGACCGGGTGCGTATGGCCCGAACCTGTCAACGGTGTTTTTTGTACAGGGGCAGATTTAGACCGGGTATCCCATAGGAGTACCTGCCCGGAATATGTACCGCCTATGATTAAGTTGGGGTGGAAAGGAGAGAATTTTGCCGTGAGAATATCAGACTGGGCATGGAAGAGGAATTCAGGTCGGTCGTGGAGATGTTGATTCCATACTTGTACAACGCCATCAGGGTCGTGGGGAGCGGACGGATTTTTGGTGTAAGATGCCAGCAGCAGCTCGGGGAACTTTGGTGAGAAGTCAATGCTGCTAATCATACGCTTCTTGGACCACCGCTCATCGTAAAATTGCACAACTTCCTTAACTCTCCGGCGTCCCTTTCCGCCAGTGTTACCCGCCTGCTCATCCTCGTCCTCAATGTCGTGGGCTTGAAGTGAATAATCTGTCAATATATCATACTCATTGCTGATATCAAGCGCTCGCTCGATGACTTTCGTTGAACGTTCCACAAAATCAACAAAGTCATCAGATGCTACGACGGCTGCTAGCTCCTCGTTATTTAATGCCCTAGCCGGGAAATTCGAAGTGACAACAGAATTGACCTGTAAGGGTCCATCGGTAATCAACTCTCGAGCGGCCTTCAGTTCTTCCTCAATTTCTAATCGTAAATTCTGACGCAATTCCTCTTCTCTGTCGCGTTTCCATCTGCTCAGCCGCTTGTTGGGAGTGGACGTGACAGGAAGGTCCTCATCCTCAAGATCTGAAAAGGCTCGAGGCCTGGTGACCGAGGGCGTCCAGTCGTCTGTAGTTTGGACGCCTTTGCTGTAGGAGAAAATCTCTTTAACGGGAGATGGCGGGCACTCGAATACGGTTTGGAGGGGTACCGTTGTTAAGACCTGCGGCTGGGTTGAGGCAGGATGGCCGTTCACCTGGGAAGCATATTCCGAATGTGAGTGTTCACCGCTCAGGTCGTCGGCACTGAGGACGCTATTGGGTCGACTTCCTCGTAGACCGGGGGATGCCACACCCGTCGTAGAAGAGGCAGGTCGACTTTCGCCTACTAGACTGTTAATCAAGGACTCGATGACCTTGCGATTGTCGCGACCCGGAGTGGGGGAGATGAGCTATGATGCGAGTTAGTAGGAAGAGATAAATGTATAATAACTAGGATGAACTAACATCGCTAGGTCCGTTGCCTGTGCCAGGTCTAGCAATAGAGGCTGCCTGGCTAGCTCTTAATTCTCGTTGTCTCTTGAGTTCGGCGAGTTTCGCCTTCTTTGCCAGAATCTCATCTCGTCGTTGTTGCATCTTGTACTCCACCGAGACCCATGCCGGGTGCGGTCTCTGGGTTATAGGGGGTAACGGATCTAGATAAACCTAGGTGGTCGAGGATTTGTCGGTTTATTGTATTACGTATTATGTACGAGAGAGTTGAATGGTGTATTGTATATCTTCAGTGGTCTATTAAACGGAGCGCAACGGTTTCGCGTAGTGGGTGTTTAAGTTTAAGGGGATCGCAACGGTTACTGAAATTCTAACGGGCGCTACGTCTACCTTAATCAGCTGTACCTTAATGACGGGAATGCGCGTTTCTTTGTCGGGATATCGCGACACCGGTAGTATCCGTGCGCCCACCTAATTTGCAATTTGCATGTGTACCTAACCTCTCTACACTATAGTTAGCTAGGTTAGGTATGTAGGTAGTAGCTACAGCCTGCAGAGGTCTCAAAAATTAATGTTACTTGGGCAGTTACCTACAGTTCTACCTTTCTATTGGTTCATATTAATCTTAATGTATTTGTTCAGCCCCCACTTATTTAGCTCGGCTCGTACCACCACATGTATCGACAATTCCCTAGCAGCTGGTGGCTTTGCTGGTTTGTAAAAAATAAGTATGCGAAATTTCCCGACGCCGTCCAGACTTCCGTAACAAGCCTCTCTCACCATTCTACCTCCCACCTCGAACCGCAACCCTCGACAATTCCTCCCCTCGTGGAACAGGGCCAATTGGCATCCCATCGCCGTCCCTTGCACCGCTGATTGATCGCTCGTTCCGTCTCTCATCACATACCGGCCCAATGTCTACCACTTCGGGAGTCAACGTACGTATGCCGCTGGCTTTCCCGTATGTCCGAGATGTACCACGAGGCCATAACTGACAGCGTTCTATATAGGTGCTCCGGTACTCGGCTCTTGCCCTAGGTGTTTTCTACGGTTTCACGCACCAGAGAAGTATCAACGCAACGCAAAGGGTCGCCGCGGCGAAGAAAGAGTACGAACACAAGCAGCAGTTAATAGAGAAAGCGAGGGCCGAATATGCGAGGTCCAAAAACCCAGCTCTTGCGGCGTCTGAGAAGAGTCCCTGTACGTTTTTCCATGGTTGCATGCGAGTCGAATAAAATGTTAACGGTATTATTAGTGAACCAAGACCCGATGGACCCCAACTTCGACCTGGAAGCCTACTTCAACGCCCTTGCGGCACAAAATCCGTAGGGATGTAATAATACTGATACCAGGCCCGGTGCGCGTGGAAATGCAATAGAGACTAGGGGCAGAGACGGGAGGGAGGGCTGGAGGGAAACTCGGTGCGGTCGAGGCTGGATCGAAGCTGCTTCCTCTACCGACGACTTTGCAGGCTCTGTGTATGATTGCGATACGGTTCCAAAAAAAACCACCTCATAGATTTCCTCAGGTTTCACGCTGTACATGTGTACAATACCAAAACTTATGCTAACCTAGACCCATTTGGCATTGGGAGGGCCGGATCTTGCATGACGTTTATGGTACGGCCCTTGGCGGCTGGATTCAATTTCTTTGAGTGAATTTTATACTATTTACTATCACCTCCCAGTCTTACATGTTGCGTCCAGTACAGTAGACAGATGAAGATGAGGGGTTTGCTTAAACGGGTTCTACAAACACCTTAGCCCATTTACATGTATATGAAATTTATATGAAAAGCCTTTAGTACCTAAATGCTGAGGCAATATTCATTCAGCAGGTGGATAACATTCTGATAGATGGACACTCTCAATTATCCATATACATAGTTAAGTATTGACCTAGGATATAAAAGACAAAGCCCTTAGATGATATAATGTATATCTAAAATATTTAACAAGATTTAAGACAAGAGTCGTGCGAATACTTTATATACATGTACCTACATGATGTACATATGTATGTAGCACCATGCGCATACCCGATGATGTATTTGGTACTTTCACTCCCACACACATAAAAAAAAATTGATTACATAATTACATGTAGATTGAATTTGGACCCCTGCAGACGTGGAGCTCTTTCTGCAACTACGACGCGCGGATCGATTTTGTGAAAGCTCCAGCTGTCCTCTCATCACTTCCGCCGTTTATCCATTTGAGGCCGAGAGCGAACTACGAATTTCACTTCCCAATTCAACACATACCACATCTTTCACATCTTTCTCAAATGTTGACACCGTCTACCACCTAGTTGCATTGTCCCGAGGCAGCACTCACCCACAATGGCTGTCGCAACTGGCACCAGCTCTACGCCTGTCGACTTACTCATCAGCGTGGGCAAGAACCAGAACACCAAAACCTTGTTAAGGGTTATTATTCTCTGCTTCATTGCCGGCGCTGCAGTCGCAAGTCGACTATTCTCAGTTATTCGTATGATTCTCTCTTCTCCCTCCATTTTATCGAATCTACTCGCTAACCGTTGTTCTTATAGGATTCGAGAGTATTATCCATGAGTGTTAGTTATACTTCCATTACATACCTATAATAGCAATATATACCACTTAGGCATCCCCCTCTAACTTGACTGCTATATATAGTCGACCCGTGGTTCAACTTCCGAGCAACCAAGTACCTCGTTGCCAATGGATTCTACGACTTCTGGGATTGGTTCGACGACCGAACATGGCATCCTCTTGGGCGAGTTACCGGAGGTACCCTCTATCCTGGTTTGATGGTCACAAGTGGCGTTATTTACCATCTCCTCCGAGCTTTGGCCGTTCCCGTTGACATCAGAAATATCTGTGTGCTTCTTGCGCCAGCATTCTCCGGTCTTACTGCGTTCGCTTCCTACCTCCTTACCAATGAGATGACCACCTCCCCATCTGCTGGTCTTCTTGCTGCAGCTTTCATGGGTATTGCCCCAGGTTACATCTCGAGATCTGTGGCTGGTTCCTACGATAACGAGGCTATTGCCATCTTCCTTCTTGTATTCACCTTTTATCTCTGGATTAAGGCATTGAAGTTGGGTTCCGTATTATGGGGGGCCCTCTGCGCTCTCTTTTACGGTTACATGGTAGCCTCGTGGGGCGGATATGCCTTTATCACATGCCTAGTGCCTCTGCACGCTTTCGTGCTCGTATGCATGGGCAGATTTAGCATGCGCCTCTACGTCTCATATACCACATGGTATGCTCTTGGTACTCTAGCTAGCATGCAGATTCCGTTCGTCGGTTTCCTGCCGGTCCGTACTAGCGAACATATGCCGGCTCTAGGCATCTTCGGATTCCTCCAACTTGTCGCTTTCCTCGAGTATGTTCGGTCAGCCATCCCAAGCCGTCAATTCCAAACGTTCCTTTATGTCGGTTTAGGCGGTGTCTTCGGCATTTCAGTTCTCGGTCTGGTTGGTCTCACGACCCTTGGATACATTGCGCCCTGGTCTGGTCGATTTTATTCTCTATGGGATACAGGATACGCCAAGATCCATATTCCAATTATCGCGTCTGTGTCCGAGCATCAGCCAACTGCCTGGCCAGCCTTCTTTTTCGACCTGAACTTCTTGATCTGGCTTTTCCCAGCTGGTGTCTATCTGTGCTTCCAGAGATTGGAAGATGAGCATGTCTTCATCATTGTGTATGCCTTGTTTGGCAGTTATTTCGCCGGTGTCATGGTGCGATTGATGCTCACTCTTACCCCTGTTGTATGTGTGGCCGCTGCTATTGCGGTTTCCCAAGTCCTTGACACGTACTTGGTCGCCAGATCACCGATACCTGTAGACATCAAGGAGGATGAGAACGCCGATCCGAAGAAGGCATCAAAGCACGGAGTACTCCGTACCACATCACAACCCATAGTAGGCATCTACAATTTTTTGTCGAAAGGCTTCATAGCTGGATGTATGACATTATACCTACTCCTCTTCGTACAACATTGTACTTGGGTAACTTCAAACGCTTATTCGTCACCATCTGTTGTCCTGGCAAGCAGGATGCCAGATGGAAGTCAGCATATCATCGATGACTACCGTGAAGCTTATCAATGGCTTCGACAAAACACCAAAGAGGACGCCAAGATCATGTCCTGGTGGGATTATGGTTATCAAATTGGTGGCATGGCTGACCGACCCACCTTGGTTGACAACAATACGTGGAACAACACCCATATCGCTACTGTCGGTAAAGCCATGAGCTCGCGAGAGGAAGTAAGCTACCCGATCATGCGCCAGCACGAAGTTGACTATGTCCTTGTCGTTTTCGGTGGTCTCCTCGGCTATTCTGGTGACGATATCAACAAGTTCTTGTGGATGGTGAGGATTGCCGAAGGTATCTGGCCTGACGAAGTCAAGGAGCGCGATTTCTTCACTGCTCGGGGCGAGTACAGGGTTGACGACCAGGCTTCGGAGACCATGAAGAACAGCTTAATGTAAGATTTCTCCCCAGTTGTGCCCCGGTCAAGAGACGCCTCTTACTAACAATTCTTCAAATCAAGGTACAAGATGTCGTACTACAACTACGGCTCCCTCTTCCCACCCGGACAGGCCCAAGACCGTGTCCGAGGTGCTCGACTTCCCGACAAGGGTCCAGTCCTCAACACACTAGAAGAAGCTTACACTAGCGAAAACTGGATTATTAGAATCTATAAGGTAAAGGATCTTGATAATGTAGGCCGAGATCATGCGGCTGCTGCTTCCTTTGAGAGGGGCCACAAAAAGAAGAAGGCAACTAAGAAGCGGGGACCTAGAGTTCTGAGAGTTGACTAATGAAATGGAATTACGAGATGAGGATACGAAGTGTTGATCGGTTAGGAGGGAAAGAGGAAAAGATAAAGTGATAGGTAGGTAGCCTATCCTTGGTCATATTCATACACTTGCCGGTAAAGCTGGGAATGCAGCCATAGAAGGCTTGGCCACTGTACAGGTACTGAACGTGAGGCAGGAAAAAAAACGTATATTCCCAAGTTATCTGAACCTGTGTCATGTCTTGTAAGATGTGAATACGGGTACCAAGTAAAATAAAATAAATGATGGCTTAATGAGAATGTCCCCCTCCCCCCAAAGTTATAGGACATCTAAAATCCAAAATACAGTACATATAGAGAGAATACGAGCGAATTGCGGCATATATAAATACACATTGAGAAGACGATTAAGTAAAAATACAACAAAAACTGGTGCTGTGCAATGTGTTAGTTGGGGTGTATTAGAAATGAAGTGGGTTCGATTTCGCCAACAAAATATGCTATAGATATAATGTTATATTACAAATGAAATGTTATCGCCCGCTTGGCACAGCGGTAATGCGCCTCACTAGTACTGTTCAAGTGCTACTAAGGAAGTTATGAGGAGATGACTGGTTCGACTCCAGTAGTGGGCAACTCTTTTTTTATGCTTTTGTTAATTATCTTTGCTTTTGAATCTTTCCTGGGGGAGGGTTGTTTTTTTTTCCTTTTTTCTTTTATTATTATTATAAATACATATCATCGGGATTACGGGATTATCATCATGTTTTTTTACGTTAATTACCAAGGCTAGATTAGATGTATAGTACAGCCAGACTAGAATTCTGGATTGTGATTTTTAAAAAGTCAGACATTATTATTCGATTCTCCTTAATCGGAGAGATACTCTCTTGATTATGAGATATCAATTGAATTAACTATCTCTTTTCTTACGTGCAAAAGCGCATCGAACTCAACAGTAGTGACAGTGACGACATACATACAATTCGGTTCAAAAAACAACAACGTATCTAACTAACTAACTGTGCTAGTTATCTGCAAACTGAAACTTAATTTCCATGCTTCTTACAAGCGTCATTAGGGGTACAAGTACAATTTTCTACATCCTTCAAACGAAGAGCAAAAGCGAGCTCTAATAGTTGCAAAAAGTGTCGTTCTGTCTGTCCAATTCCTTCGTTCCAACTCATAAGACCGCCTAGGTCCATCCAACGTAACATAAATACGTATATGTAGGTGCGTGTATGAGTGGTCAAGTCAGGTGCTGTTAACAGGCCACGATGATCTTACGATCAAATCTTCGTCTTTGCCAGCATAGGCATAATATCCGAACAGAATAAGTGTTGTGGCCATCAATTAATTGTTGATGTGCAAGTGTGCGAGTGTAAACAGGATAACAGTGGGTTGATTAGTTTTACAACAGTGGCAATAAAGTCCAAAGTTTCTTTCAGTGTCGCGACGAGAGGTGATTATGCCATCCTCCGCTGGTAGTAGATTGGTTGTAGTCAAACATGCTGGGCGGCATATTCTCCGTTGAGTGTCCCGTATGGCCAGCCATGGAGGATGCTGGGTCCGGGGGCATCGGGTCGAATGAGCTGCCAGATTCTCTCTCATCGAAGTGATACATTGTATTCTTCTGTTGCTTCCTTGAAGCCTCATGTCGGCCGGATCGATCAGGTCGTTGCCAGATATCGTGGTACGACGGTGGCATCCAGGTGCGGTTACGATCTCCATTCTCCTGCTTGAAGGTTCCTACGCACATAGTTAGTTATCCATTTAGTTTATGGAGAGCCAAGATCATTTTGCCATGAACTTACGAAATGTTCTTGTCGACCCATTTCGGTCGACATCCTCTCCCGTTTCCGAAGTCTCAGCTAGTTGGTAAGTAACGGTTGAAGTATCAGCAGTGGCACCGTTCTTCTCTTCATTGGAACGAAAAGACTCTACAGAGATCTCAGTGCGAGTCACAAATGTGGGAACGAAAAAGGAGGATGTACGAGATTCACCCCAGTTACCACCTGCCAAGTCGTCAAAGAGCTTACCGGCGGATGCCAGTTCTTCCTCGGCCAAGTTTCGTGCGCTATTTTCGGCCCAGTCCTCATCTTCCTCACCCCTTCCCCAGTAGTCGTCCGTGAAAACCGGGATAGAGGCCGCGTTACCATACGGTAAGTCCGTCGAAGTTGGTGTCGACGGCCATGTGGGAGTATCCGGGGTGTCCGACTCGGCTTCCGCTGTATGGCCTATATGTCCTTGAAATTCTTGACGTACTTCAGGTTTGTCTTGATAGCGACCAATTTGTTCGTGACTAGAATATCCGTGCCAACGAAATCCTAGACTTCCGTCGGGTTGCTCAAAGTCGGGCATTGCGCCCATGTTCGGTCGCTCTCGGCTATGGCTGTAAATCTTAGGTCCTCTATTGTGAACAGGCTTGTTTTCTTTAGCCGAATCATAACCCTCGCGGGCTGGCCACTTATCACGAGGATTATCGCTTTCAAGGTTAGAGTAGTTTTTCTTGAACTCCTGGACTTCCTTGAAAAAGCTGAGACGCTCGAAATCGTCATTTATATTCTTATACATTTTGTCATGGGCCTCACCCTCTAGAGAAGCAGCTTCCGATAATGTGGGAATGCCCACTGCGGAAACCTTAGGAGTCGTCTCAGAAACTGCTTTGGGAACATTCTGCCGTGGAACTCTGGTACGCCTCTTTGGTGAGGCAGTAGCTTGAGATGAGACCTCAATACTACTGCCATAGACTCTGCCGGAGCCTTCATGTTGACCAAGTCCTGAGCTCGTCTCTGCTGTTCCCTTTAGTTCGCTATTGGCTGTCATGTTGGAGCTCTTAGCACGAGCAGCATTCTTCAAAGTAGATCTGCCATCCTCGCCCGAGGGACTCACTTGACGATCCCGAGACGTCTTAAGCTTAGAAGTAGATATATTGATATTGACCTTGTGTCGGGGTTCTTTATGAGATGATACCGCGCGCTTGTTTCGATGGTGATATTCCTTAGGGCCTGGGATAGGAATAGGTGGTGAGATGCTGAAATCCGACTCTTCTCCTGAGGATACTGACAAGGGCAGCTCCGTATAATCCGCTCGAGTGGCTCTTTGGGATGAGATCATCGGTGCTAAATTAAGGCGTGCTGGTCTTCTCTTCAGCTTACGGCTACGCCAGGTCTTTGCATCCATTGGCTTATCCTCGCGGATCGTGTCAGCCGTCTCGTAGCCAGTATGGCGTAGAGATTCACGGGTATTCTATAGGCTAGCATCAGCATTACAATCTCTTTTAGGGTAAATTTCTCGACTTACGTTGCTCATAAGAGCGTCATCTGTAGTATCGTTGTCCTTGAGAGCATGGTGCAGACATTTACGGCAATAGTCTCGGGTCGGTATTTCGCCTCTCTTCAACGGATGTGCTCGTTGATATCCCCTAGACCGCTTCTTCCCGCAAGCTCCGCAAATATGGACATGCTGTATATACTTGCTAATTTCTTCTATTGCTATTGCTCCCTTTTCTTTCTTGCCTTCGTCAATTTTTGTTCCTTGTGCTTGAGATTTCATAGTTGCACTATAATGCTCCTCGAACTCCTTAGCTTCGCTAGGGATGAACCTTGCAGTGCTGCTTGAGGCTGCTTTGCTGCTCTCGTCAGGTGATAAATTTGCCGGGGGTGTTGTTGGTGAAAGCGGGAAAGCAGGAAAGGGGATCTGCATGGATCCGTAGACTGGGAAAGTAGATGACTTAGGTTCTGGATACAAAGCAGTATACTGATGAGGTTGAAAGTACGAATTCACTGCTGTAGACTGAGGAGCCATGTATACCGGGGGTTGTACATGTTGAGTGGTTGGTGCCACATCAGGAGACTGTCTCTGCCTGTGTCTCTGTCCCAGACTTCGAAGGCCACCGTAGTCAGGGAGTTGGGTATTGATATATACTCGAGGGTTAGTAGGTAGATCAGCCGAAGGACCTTGCATGGGCTCCACGGTCAGTGTGCCGTTGCCACTGGGTTTCATGTTCCAAAATGAAGTCGGTGATAACGGAGAAACAGGTGTATGTGGTGAAGACCACATAGGGATTTGCTGTGTTGGAAGACTGGAGTTCGTAGGCATCTGGTTCGGATCTCTTGTTCCGGACACTTTGTCATGGTATGTGTTACCATTACGCGGGCTCTCTTCGACACGATAGATACGTTCAGGAGTAGAAAATGAAGCAGATCGAAGACTACTTTTACGCACTGTCCCAGCTGGAGAGGCTCCATATCCGCGAGCTTGGTTGTTGTTATTGAATGAAGTTTGTGGCGTGTGAGGTTGGCTTGAAGTTGAAGGTGAAGCAAATCCCGAACCTTGAGAGTAGAAGCTCCTGTGGCGACGAGCCCGTTTCTCTACATCTGCGCGAGATGAGTTACCCATGTTTTGGCCAAGAAGATCGAATCCAAAGTCCTCTGGCAGCCTGTCATGCTTCTTGCGAGCCAACGCAGGCCTTCCGCCCTTAGTCTTAGTGATATAGATGCTATTGGATCCAGACAGGTAGATCTCATCATCAACGTCGTTGTATCCTTGTTGCGATCCTAAAATCTCTGATTGAGAGCTACTGCCCCTATTGTCGTGTCAGTAAGAGTTTTGTGATAGATGTGGTGTGAAGAAGCAGTATGTTAGAATGGATTTGAACGCGAAAGCTTGGTATTAATAACATTTATGCGCACTAGGTTAAGATGATGGACTGATATTGTCCATTTCAAATGATGCCTTGATAATTTCTAAGACTTTTGGGTTTGAGATAATCCAGAGATCGTCTATTGGAATTACCTAGGCGCGGTCCTGTTTAGAGTAGAAAATAACAAATACTTACCTAGAAGGATGTTGCCCTACCGGCGAAAACATCTTGATCGAGGCCATAGACGCAGGTAACATTAAAGCCCAATCGGCATATTATTAGTACGAATCCATCTAAGCAGACGGCGATGTGCGAAACGATGTGCGAAAAAAGGTTGGCAAGTATGTCGCAATCGGGTAAAGGGTACGATAGCCGTCAAATAGACATGTTGTGGCGTGTGGATGTTGTTGTTGTGTGTGTGTAAAGGTAACAAAATAACGGTGCGGATCGAGGCAACAAGGTTGAAGATAAAAGCTGGAGTTTTACTGCCGTTACCTATTTAACTTTAAGTTTCCTCGGCAACAAAGGCAATTAAATGATCCACCTTAGGCGGACAAATACGATCAACTCTGCATCACCTTAAGTTTATTTCATTATCGCTACTTCTACTTCTTTTAGGGCAGCTACATACAAGGGCACCTGTGCTTATCGACACCGTCTCTCCTTCGCCGCTACTTTGTAACTTGGACGTGTCAGTTTCCGGATGAAAACGCGTAGGTGTACTTACCTTAGGTACCTACATGTATCCTTTATACGTGTAGGTACTTAATATATAAGTAAGCTCAGACTGCACAGCTTTAGTCAACTGGAAGCTATTAAGAACTTTCCTAATAAATAATTGTTATTATTAAAATATTCGTCGAGCAGCATCCCCCAAATGGAGGGACTTGGACCATGTAGATATACCTAATTTAACACATATCATCCTTCTAGGAGTCCCACGCTGTATAAACTCTTTATGAGCTCCCCAAGGTATATAAAGTATGCGTGTACATGTCCCTCTATGTCCTTTCCCGCCATCATATACCCATACGGATCATACCTACAAGGATGATGACACTATAAATACTCTCCCATTTCCAGATTAGGGGGGCCCTTCCTATTGGAGGTGCATTAACCTGGCACTATAGTTTTAGCTAGAACATCTATAAGTGCGGAGAACGGCATCGGGATATAGCTTCTTGTATCTGACATATTCAACTATGTCGAGACCGTATATTCCTTCATTAACGAGATGCCGCAGAGAATTCCAAGAGCGCCGGGGTGGGTAAACGCTAGTTATATCCACTGCTCTGTATATACGATGATGGTATAGTATGCAGTGCTTGAGGCATCGCTCTCACCGTTGAGGGAGTTGAGCTAGCTGGTGAAGACATGCGAGAAGCACGCGAAGCAAGGATCCTCACCGCGTCAACACGCTTATTTTCGAAAATCCGGCTGCGTTCTACTTCTTCGTCCATGCTTTGCATCCTCATTTCCTGATCGCGCTGTGCCTCAGCCTTGATTCTATCATAGTGAAGCGTAGTCACAGCTTTAGGCCAGAGACGATCAAGCTTGCGGGCCTGAGCCTCAGGAACACAGGCCGGAAGCTCATTTGCCGGTCTAAGACCCGATGACCCTCCCCAGTAGCATTCGAATGTAACTTTTGCCTGACTGTGAATATTGTCGGATCCCCAGAAGACTATAGTGTCTCCGTGGTACAGCTTCATCCAGTATTTACAAGCGGCCGTGCTATCCTTTGGCTCATTGGCCTGTAAAGGATAGTTATTGATTCGTATCCCATTCGTCGCCTTAGTTGATATATAAAAAGCGAATGAATCTGGTTCAGGCGAAGCTCGCATCGTGCGGTTATTCGTTGGGCGAGCCGGATCCCATGGACGGAAATCGCCCAAAGAAGCAGCATAACCGTCTCTCCATAATATTATTCTGAATGCATTCTTAGGAACCTTAGACTCAACGACTGGCTCGTAAACAACCGTGTTGTTAGGATCCCGTCCCCACGACATCACGGGGTCGTTTAGACGGATTGATATTCCTGACACTAATGATCCTTCGGTCGAATAAAATGCTGCGACCGCCTGCGGTAGCTCGGGGGCTTGCGTTGGTGGTGTGGTTTGAGTTTCTGGTGGTAGCGTATCTGGAATCGACTCAGAATCATCATCGACGAGAGTCGAAGCCTTGTGGGGCATGGGCGAGCCATGCATCTCATCAGCAAACCGGTTATCTCGCTTAAGTAGAGCTGGTCGTAATACCAGAACCCTTCCTCCATCCTTGGGAGGGTTTCGGTTGTGCGTGGGTGGGAAGTGCCTCATTGCGAGGTCCCAAAGGCGCGATTTCCTCGGCCCAAACTCTTCATTCCTCTTCTGAGCAGCGAGCTCGAATGCGTTGAACTGGAGATGAGTCATTTCAGGATAGTCTAAATGCCACGTGTGCTTATTTGAACTATCCCAAAATGTTGTCTTAGGTAGTGGATAGTCAATTTGGCGACCCGACTCGTTCTTCACAACCTGGGGAACGCAAGCGAGCAAGCGGAGCTCATCCTCTTCAGTCTCGGAAGTATCAATATCACCTAAAGATTTGAGTCTCTTGAATGATGGCTTTATCCAAGTCTCGCCCGCTTCATATTCGTCGCTAGTATCGTATGCGGGCTTTCTTTTACTTGTGGTCAAGTCGGCAGTTCTGGACCGGAGGTTTAGGTCACCATTGGCAAGCGACTTCACGTTCAAGTTTCCAAGAATCGACGAGGCACCACCAAGGCTTTGGGAATGTGCACCTAGTATAATACTCTCTGAATTACTCCTCAGAGGGTCTCTGCTAGGTGACAGGACATCGTTACTTATGCGACCTTTTTGCCTCGGAGTAGAAAGATTCTCGGATTCCTCGAAACTATCGAGAATCTCGGTCTCAAGCGCATCGGGTTCTCTAAAATTCGTGTCTGAGACTGGGAGGTTCAGATGATCCTCTCCGATGGCACCAGAACTACCCAATACCGAATTATTTACTTCCCCAAACAGTCGATTTGGGCGGTGTTGCCCAAATGTATAATTTTCTTTTTCGGATTCGTATTCTACAGAGAAATCAGGCTCTGGTTCCCTGAAGGCATCGTCGGTAAACTGTGCCGTTTGCCTGTCGTCGAGACTAAGCTGCGAGGCCGCCTGTCCCAAGTCCTTATCGTCGGAGACCACGCTGACAGAGCTAGTTTCCCCTACAATCCATGGATGATTTTGTAGTTCCAGAACAGTCGCCCTGGTTTCTGGCCTTACATGTATCATCCTTAGTAGAAAGTGAATACCATTGCTGGTTATACCGGCCCGTGATAAGGGTGTGATGTTAAGCGGTATCTTAATGATATGGTCGAGAAGTTCCGTGTATGTGACCCCGTTCTTAACAGGAAAAGGTGGACTGCCGGTGAGAGCATAGAATAAAACACCCCCGAGAGACCATATGTCTACCGCGTGATCGTATCTCTCCCTGTCAACCTGTCTCTGATTATTTCTCTGGGTTCGTCTACCATTATCATCATAAGATGAATACTCGCTGTACACTTCAGGAGCGCAGTACAGAAGTGTTCCACAGAACGTCTTAAGGAAAGTCTGTTCGGTATCGATCATTTTCGACAAGCCAAAATCCGTTAATTTGACTACGAGTGGATTCGTCGAGTGTATTAAAATATTGTCAGGCTTCACGTCGCGATGAGTAATCTTATTTTCATGGAGATACCCAAGTGCATCAAGCAGCTGTTCGGCCATAATTTTAACGTAAGGCTCTGCTATCGGGCCATGCTCCAGGATATACTTTCCCAGGTCACCACCTGGAACAAATTCCATAATGATGAAGAACTGGTGCGCATCCCAATCGAAATGCTCGATATATTGGACAATATTTTCCTTAATTTCGGGTTAGATGAATTGGAGAAACCAAGATAGGATGAAAAGAGGCTACTTACGTGGTGAACCTTTTGCATAATCTTCATCTCATTTTCGACTTTCTGATCTAGAACGCCATTCTTCATAAACTTGCGCTTGTCTAGCTCTTTCGCCGCATATGGCGAGCCGTCATATTTCGAAGTAACCTTGTGGACGGTAGCGAAAGCCCCCTTCCCGATGACACCAACGCGCGCGTACTTCTCACCACCACGCCACTCACGGGGTAGGCGCGGATGGCTTTGCGTAGTCTCCCAAGGCTCATCTTTAGTGCCGGTCCTATTCCTCGGAGGTGGGAAAAGGTTAACCTATTCAGAATTAGTATCAATGTATGTAATACCATTCACTATTTGGGGATGCTGTCTTACATGGCCACTCGGTCCGGGGCCTATAGTCCTGTTGGCATCATCATCCTGCCCCTGAGCTCTCCGTAGATAGGCACCGAGTTTCCTTCTATAAGCTACATCATGGTCGCCATCGCGACGGGGAATGCGCACGAGAAAGAGAAGATCCTTCGAAGTGTCATGCATGACGATCTTGATGGTAGATCCACTCTCCAGAGTCCTCTTAGTCGGGTTGGTTTGGCTTGGCTTCTGTGGATCAGCCCGCTTTCGAAGCAATTTGCCATCTACGACAGTGCCATTTGTTGATTGGTCTTCTAACATGACGGTGCCATACTTATTAGCAAATATGCGAAAATGAATATTGCTAAGCCTTCTGCTCGGGTCATAGTCAAAGCAAAGGTCACACCGCGCTCGGTTGCGACCGAAGGTAAATCCTAGACGCGGATCCTTGAGAACTGACGACAGTTTGATTACGAGGGCATGGTCGCCAATCCCTCGAGTTCGTCCAAAGTCCTGAGCATCGTCTTCTAGGTATAGGTCTGAGTCTATGGCATCAGCGGTGTACCTTCCAGCAGTGTGGTGGGCGTATTCGGACGAGGACGCGATCCTCTGAACCTCGCGGCTGGCGCTGTCGGAATTAGGATAGAGTAAACATATTATATCGGATATGTCCTCATCTGAGAAGCCCGAGTTCTGCTTCCCAAATCTCCTAGGATCTAAGGCATTCTGAGTAGCTATAAATGAAGGAGTTAGAGACTATCGCTAATGGTATGTAGCTATAGGATAATGTAGAAACTGACCTGGTTGGGTGGCCTGCGAGTCGTCATTTGGGTCCATTGGGAATATTGAGAATGCGCAGGTGCTGGCCCTCAAGAATTGTTGTTCACACCGACTGCGCGAAACACAGTTCAGGCAGCCGGTTCGCAATTATTACGTTGAAACACCCAGCCCGAATAACTTGCTCGAAAGCCTTTGTATATAACAGGTCGTGGTCATTCAGAGGGAACTCGATTGCATTTTAGGCGACGAGATTAAATAGGTATTTTTATGGTTGCGCCGTCGGTAGTTATAGATTGCGAGCAAACTGTGAATCAAAACATTCAACTGTGAACGTTTTACATACAAGTCTAACTCGTTTTAATATGTACACATGGAGATTTGGATGAGTATGACAAATTGGTTGTAATGGCAACGTTAGCGCTGGTCAGATGAGATGTAAAACAGAAAAACAGAACCTCGAGGAAAGGGTTTGAGGTAATAGGTATCACAGGGACTCGTTAGAAAGATTTAAGATAAAAGGTTAAAAGTGCACGACAGCCTCAGGCGGATGCACGCGGTAGGTAGCATTAAGTGCGGCTGCCCACTCCAACCAGAAGAAGCAGAAGGCAACCCACCTTGAATCCACCTAGCACCCAGTGCCACTTACTTAGGTATGTACCTTAAGAATTTACCCCACAGGAGATTATGTACTATTCTTCTTCTGGAATAGGTTGTGCAGCCAATCGTTTGTAAAAGTCGGGTAGGCCCGCCAGCGACATCTACTATCTACTATCTACTATCTACTATCTACCACTTACCACCTACGCGTCACATTAAAAGTTGATGTAGATGTTGAAGTTTTGTATAATACGCGTATAATATTTCTATCCGTTCCCTCATTTTTATATTGACGCTATCTAACACCCTGGACTACCTACCTAGGTACCTAAAGCAAACACTTAGATTAGAATTCAACATCATAGGTACCTACATTCCATGGGACTATCGAAGCCATACGTCACCCGGTGACATCAATCCAGCTGACTTGATGAGGCACAGTTAACAAACCCCTGTTCAGGGCATAGATGATTAAATAATGATATGCTTATTAGTCAAATCGACAAACGTACTCGAAACCGAACATGGCGTCGGAATCCGTTTTATGCAAGTATTACTATATATGTATAATTTTTTTTCCGATCTCCTGTATATGCCCATTATAGGTCAATGTTCAAACCATGCATGCTTCTGTCTCAAGATAAATCCCGTTTCCCTAGGAAAGAAGTAGAAAATCGTAAATCGTAATCCAGCAAAATCAGAAAAAGCCCTTCTTCTTCTTCGGCTTTCTCTCCATGTCCTTTAGAATATCATCAAAAGTGCTTCCTCCTACAGAGCCCTGCCTTGAACTATTCCGCGAATCCTGAGGTGCTTGAACAGGAGAACCTGGGAGACCATGTAAATTACCCGAAGATCTGCTACGGCTCATCATGGTACTGACCGGCCGTGGAACCGGAGACGGGCCTCTAGCACTGGAGATTCGCGACCCTAGCATTGAAAAGTCATCTTCAGGCATCGGGATGGGCTCAAGCCCGAAAGCTACGCTACTTCGGTAGTTAGGATTCCTACCGCCTGGTGAGCCAGTTCTCTGTCTAAGTGCCAGACCAGGTGGGCCACTTTGGGGAGACTCGCTCCGGTTGACCAGAGGCGGCGGGCTTGCTGATACGCCTGGATCCATATCGGCAAAAACGGACTGTGGCGGTGGCAGTGGTGATAGACTTTCTTGTTGTATCATAGGACCGATATCTTCTCCAACCTCCCAGCCTTTAGCTACTAGCCAGCAGTGGCTACGGTGGTAGATGCCCTCGATACTAAACTCTACGGCATCGGTTGAAAGCTCAACCAAACCACCTCCGCCGGCCACTTCATACCATCTCTTGCGCACTGCCGGCGCATCTTCTATCCATGGCGCCTGACCCTTTGGTGGCTGACAGAGGAAGTATTCGACACCTTCCGTGAACTGTAAACCGGGAGCATCCACTACCAGCATCGGAAGCGACTGGATAATTACGTATAGGAATAGCCAGTAGCCGAGACGTTGATCTGCCATCTCCGCGGCCGTTTTGCCTTTGGCTTCTTTGTGTTCAAATTCCTTGAACTCCTTGAGGAACGGGATGTCCAACTTGTATGTCTCGAAATCGTAGGCCTTGTTTAAGATCAAGAGCGTCTGATATTCCTGCAAGTTATTACCTAACCGTGCTTGTTCCTTGGCAGAGAGCTCGTAGAAGTTCTCCTGAACACTGGTCATGTCAGGCAATTTAGGAAGATCGAATGGAATTGGAGGGAGTACAGGAGGCGAGGATTGATCAAATTCTGTAAGGACCCTGCGCATAGCCGACAGGTGAGGATTCTTGTGACTGGTAGTCTCATCTGCGTTTTGATCAATTACTCGTGTTGTTAGTGATTCGCGGTCAACGAGCAGATCGTACAGCGCGCAGAAGTCCGAGTACATTATCTTCAAAACCTGCCGATTCAAACCGCTCTCAGTAAATGGATTTTTCTTGCTGCGGGCCTTTGGTGGCCAACTCCCAAAAGTAGATTTGTAATAATTAAGGGCAAATTGTCTCATGCGGCCGAAAGATCTTCTCCAGGTATGATATTTGACCTCCTTGTATTCTGAACGGGACGTCGAGTTGGCGACACCAGAAAATAAGGCCGGAAATTCGAACGATTCCAGTCTATTATTGACTCCATTTTGGCGGTTCACCAGTTCGATATATGCGCGTTCCAGTCGTTCGCGAGTGGTAACAGAAATTTGTTCCCATAACGGCGAATTCAAGTCTTTAATTGCCGAGTATTTGCCCACGGCGTGAGTAAACGCTTCATTGTAGAGGGCCATTGAGCGCATCCGTTCACCTAGAATGAGCGATTCTATCGTCTTCTCCCTGCTATGTCTCACGTCCGCAAGGCCCATCTGGTCCATAAAAAAGCCAAAGCTCATTTCAACAGCATCTCCAAAAGTCGACCCATCAGCGTTTGTGAACTCGAATTCCTTGAGTAAGCTGGATATGTTAATGAAGACGCTGAAGAGCGTTGACTGTTCCTTGGTACACACCAGCGGCTGGCCAGTCAAAAACGCAAACATATTTCGAATTGATATCAGTCGCTCCATGTCTGCCTGTGACCTATGACCTGGATCGGACATGGACACAGGAAGGTAGAGACGCGACTCCCCATATACCTCTGGTTCGGACAATGTGGGTGACTGAACTCTTCGTGTTGCATCATCGACAGACAGACTATCTCGACCGGTAAAACTGCGGGCACGACTCCTTCCTGAGCTAGTAGGCGATGTCATCTCGGCTTCCATAAGCTCGACGAATACCAGTGAATAATCCACTACAAACGAAGGGACTTTAAAAGAGGCATTTCCGCCACTTCCTTTGGCATCCAAGTAGATCAACACATTTCCATTCTCGTTCCACAACTCTGGGACCTTTTCTCCGTCTGCGAGGAATGATGTATTATAATCCGTATTCTGCCCAAGTATCCATGCCGCTGACGTATTAATCGTCTTTGTTTGGCTCCGCGAATGCGACCTTGACCTTGCTCCTGGTAGCCAGCTTCTTCTCAGGCGCCCTCGCCGTTCCGCTTCTCGCGTTGGACTTTCGCCTCCATTACTTGACCCTGGACGGGGCGCGGCTGGCGCAGCTGCGGAGACCGTCAGGTTCCCCGAGCCCGAACCCGGGGCCGGTCTTGTAACAGGTGGCTGTGCAGACACGCTTCGGACTCTCGATTCAGGGGTTGGCGAACCCGATTGAGGTATCCCTAAATTGGTCTGAGAATTTGATGTTTTATGACTGCTACTTGCAACAGAGCTACTTCGCCGTCTCTGGTCCTTCCTGAGCCGTGGGGATGACTTGGACTCGAAGAAATGAAAAGTTGATCCCCGTTGAGGAGCAGAAAATGTGTCATCGGCATCAGATGGCGGTGCCTTGTCCGTTACCGGCGCTGATTTATGTAACTTGTTCGGAGCAGAACTTGTGGCGTCATTTTCGGAGGAATCTCTACTGTCGGTTGGAATGGACTGAAGTGTAGCGGTATTATCGGAGAGGTCATTTGAATTTGATCTTGAAGAACCGTCTCTTGACTCTTCAAGTGACCCTGACCCCAGGGGTAGGCTCGGTAGACTCGGGGGCCTGTCTTTGACAGGGGACTGATCGGGTAGCGGTTTACGATGAAAAGCTCCCGTAGGAGAGTCTGGAGATTGAGGACTGATTAGTGACGGGAAGAAGGATGACAAGCGGTCAAGCCGCGACCTTGCAGAGAACATTTAGGCTAAGCCTTTAGTGTTCTCAGATTGGTGGGATGAATCAAGGTTTGCTACGAGCTCGTGGCTTGAAGGTTCGTCCTCGTTTAGTAGCTTTTGATCTTTATCGCTATCTTCAGAAGGACTTGGTGACTCGAAGGAAGGAGAAAGAAGTATAAATGGATGCTTGTCCACTCACTTGTAGAAGCCATTGTTTAGTCTGTGAATGAACAAGCACAAGCACAGCCCTTTTCTTCGGACAGGGTGCGCAAAGCCAAGGTACCCAGGTATACCAAGGTAATCCGCGGATGGGATGGGATGGAAACGGAGTACTTTGTGTCTTAGGTTTCAACCTAGTACTTTTACTGTACAACAGGTATTGGGATCCACCAGCTAAGATTAATAAGAATATTCGTTCAACAACGGTTCAACGCTCGGGGAGAAGTAGGGCGTGCGGTGGTTCTAAAGTGACGAGTCCCGGATGCGTGTACTCGATAGTGCGGAACGCCTCGCGTCGGTGGATAAATTTGGCTTTGGGGAGGGATTCCCTGATTCTCTAGATTGTTTTAGATTTTTAGAATAGATCCAAAAAAAAAGAATTCCTATTCAAATTTAATAATTCCCATCTAAGACAATAGACAATGCGAAAAAGAGTAAGGGTCTGGATGAAATGTTATGCAATAATATGCTGTAGCTCATACAAATTTGATACGTAGGATTTTGTTATATATATCTCCAATATCGCCTTCGAGGAAGGTTAAAAGACGTTAACACGGTACTGCACATGTTTTGGGTGAGGGGTGACGTCGGCTGCTTCTGTATGTAGTGGAACCCCGTGCCTAACAAGAGGTATGGAATTACTACCCTGATTTCGTGATTCCTACCTTACCTTAGTGGTACTGCACGAGTACGAGGTACAGTACAGTACAGTAAAGTACACTACGTATTTAGTACATAATGTCCCTCACTTATACGGATCTACCTCATGTACCTAACCTAACACAAGCGCATGTTGACCACCAATTTGTCCACCAAATAAGGGCAGACTTATCCCTATTAGTGTAACTAAAGGCGCATATATTTCAATGTTACGTACAACATTGAATAAGTCCCTCAAAAAATTTATTTGTTGCCTTACGTATAGCTGCGCTGCGCACTGCGTATATACATACAAAAAATGTAGGTACGCATTTTAAGCTGACTCTTCCATCGTAAGGTCCTAGAGGCTCAGCTGTACAAACTCGTCACAAGGTATTAAGTGACACTTGTAACCAATCTCCCTGACGGGCTGCTCTTAACCCCGGCCCCGACTTCAATGTGGATATGTGCGAATTCAGCACAAATGGACGAGGTCCGGTTCGGTTAGGCATGTCTTCTCAACTTTATTAACAACGACAGACGAATGGTTTAGCGACGGTCTAGAAGTATTTGTACTCCTCCCATCTTCAGCTGAAAATCCAATGACGTATGTCTACGAGAGAGATCCTGCAGGGACGGGTTGCTAACGCCAGAGGCTGACGTGAGATTTTAAGGGGAGATTTACGTGGGTGAATAACAATAAAGAAAAAAAGACAACAATAGGTACGACTTTGAATTATATACTTACATTTACATTGTCGACGATGTAACAAAGCAAGTCTTCCGTAAGTTTAAGGTGTTGAGAGTTGAATTCTGCATAAGGCTGCATGTCAGATTTATGTTCAGGAACGTTTCCCAGATTTCGGGCCGTGGCGAAAACCTTGATCTGGTACCGTAATCTATTCTTAGCATCGGTAAAGGTGTCATAGGAATAATAGATGTAACATAAATACATGCAAATACCGACGACCGCAATGTCACTAGGTAATCATTAACCCCTTACATACCTCCTAAGTCAGCACGTATAATTGGCATCTCCCTCGTAAGGCTATCACAAAGGAGTAAGCGATACGGACATTTAGTAGGCTACACAAGTGACACAATATAGGTAACTTACAAATAGACCCATTCGTATTACAACTACCTAATTGCTCCGATCAGTGTAATATGGGTACCTACCTGTATGGATGGATGTACTTCGAATAATGGTTCGAGAAAAGTGTTAAGACACAGATCCCAGCTTACACGAAAACGCCAAGTGAAAAAAAAAAAAGATCAAAGCATATGTCTGTGCATGCGGCTTTTCATCTGCTTAAACTACCTACATAACATATCATATCAAATTCTCATAATAGGGAAAGATGCAACTTGAATATTGAATGTTTAAGAACGAAACCTTAATGAGTTTAAATTCTTTGTACATTATTAGATAGTCGGTACTTCAAATGCCGATTAGATTCTAGATGCTGGATTAGATAAGATTAGATAGATTCCCAAAACTTTCGCATTGCATTCTACCCTTTAACCTTTTCCTACCTCGTTCGTTTATGGTGATCTGATCACTCCACATTCCTTCGACCGTTTGACATGTCATGGTTCCGTAACGTAATCCGCAGCATGGCGTCCGAAATGAAGAAGGTTCCCATTCCTCGCAACGGTGTCGACTACCGGGGTAAAATCGTTCTTGCGCCGATGGTACGCTCGGGGGAGCTTCCCTCCCGACTCACGGCTCTACACTATGGTGCTGATTTAGTATGGGGTAAGTTTCTCATAATTTTTCCTCGTTAGGTTCTCTACTATGATACTGGTCCAACCCCGCTAACTCGTATTGCATAGGCCCCGAGACGGTGGATAGATCCTTAATCGGAACGACGAGGCGCTTCAACCCCGAGACCAAAACCATCGAATGGACGAGGAAGCCGTCGCATGGCACCAAAACCCCACTAGCCGACATAAAAGACAGCCTAATCTTCCGAATCCACCCGGAGAAGGAAGGCAAGAAACTAATCTTCCAAATCGGCACCTCGAACGCAGATCTAGCCGTCCAAGCAGCGCGGCTCGTAGCCGCCGACGTCGCGGGCATCGACGTGAATGCTGGGTGCCCCAAACCCTTCAGCACACACGATGGCATGGGGGCCGCTCTTCTGCGCACCCCTGATAAGCTAGTCGGTATTCTAGAAGCGCTAGTCCAAAACATCACGCCCGAGTTCGAGATCGGAATCAGTGTAAAAATACGGATCCTAGAGACAGCTGCGGAGACGGAAGCGCTAGTTAGAAGACTCGTCGCGACGGGAATAACAGGGCTAACAGTGCACTGCCGAACGACTCCCATGCGACCCAGGGAGCGCGCCATTCGCGGCCAATTACGCATGATCGCCGACGTATGCCACGAAGCCGGTGTCGCATGCCTAATGAACGGGGACGTAGAAACCCGAGACCAAGCGCTATCTCTAATCCACGAATACGGCGTCGACGGGGCCATGATCGCGACGCAAGCCGAGAAGAACCCCAGCTGTTTCCGGAGCGCAGCAGACGGGGGCATACTATCATGGAACGATGTCGTGGAGCAGTACATCCGGTACGCGCTCGAGGTGGAGAACAAATTCGGCAACACCAAGTTCCTGCTCTGCCAGCTCGTCCCAGGAAAGCAGCCCGCGTATCGCAATATTAGCACCTGCAAGAGCTACACCAAAGTGTGCGAGATGCTTGGCTATGAACACCTGATAGAGCGGGCCCGCGAGGTCGATATTAACCTAGACATTGACCCAGACAACGCGGGAAAGAAAGACAAGAAAGCCAACAACAGTGCGCTCGCTGCAGGGGGTAACATGGCTGAGTCGCGAGCGAAGCCCCAACCTAAGAAGGGGTTGGCAGAACGGGGTGTAAACTCGCAGACAGAAGCACAGTCGGCTGAGGCGAAGCCATTTGGGGGTATGGCGGTGCCCGTTTAAAGTGGATTATGAATTGCATCGTAGGAGTTGATGGAAATAGCATTTAAAGGCGTTGAAATAAGCATATACCCCTTTTTTGCTCTAGGGGTGAGGAGGTAAAGAGCATTGCATGGACATATAAGGGTTTGCGGTTTAGGTCAGGCTTGGGAAAACACGGGCTTGGTGACACTTGGGATAGCTAAGAGTATAGGAACGCGTATAGCAAGATTCAAAGTCACGATGATGAATGAGTGCTTCAAGATATCTATTCAGCCAATTCAATCATTTACAACCCTTCATCCACCCTTCTTATTCACGAGTCGCTAGCTAGACTTTCTTACCTTGTTTGAGTAAATCAGACACTTTCGGGGGTAACACCAACGCAGTCCTATCGTTACGCTTGTGGAAGTCTACCAGAGATATCGCGATCTTTTCGGGTAAGTCCTCATGTATGAAATGTCCTGCCTCGGGAAATACCTGCAGGGCATATTTCCCTGCCGTAGAAAACACGTCAGCTCTGTGCAACTTCTTCGGATGCGAATCAACCAAAGGGGACACAAACCTTGCATTTGACCAATTGTTAACTCCGTGTCTAATCTGTCCGTGCCTGCGAGGAGTAATAACTTTCCGCCTCTCGCACTCAGGAACTTCTGGCTTAGTCCTGTGAACCAATTCTCCCAGAATGGCTCCGTCGCCCCGAGATCCGTCCTCCACTTCCAGGGTCTCGGATCACCCGGAGGTCCACTGAGTTTCAGCAAGGATGGGACACTGGTACGGGCGGAGAGCGAGTTACGAATTGTTCTCGATTTAAGATGCCAGTCGATTCCTTCTTCTAAGGTTGTGAAACCAGTCGGTCGTGTAGAAAGATAAGTGTTCATGCTCTTCAAAGCATCAACGGCTGAACCCTCGACTACGTCAAGGACAACATAACCTAGTAATGAACCACCAAGCTTTCCTGTCTTGGCCACTTCTGTTACGACCGCACCTCCCAACGAGTGTCCGACTAGGATAATAGGTGGCAACTCTGACCATTTCATTTCCTTCTGTGTTAGCAGTATGGCTAAGAGTAGGTCCGCAGCAAAAACCTCAAGGCTCAGACCGATTGCTCGGTTGTCCGGAGGTGTCGTTGTTAAGCCATGACCACGCGCGTCGAGTGATAGGATGCCAGCCGACGGAAGGCGTTTCCGAATCTCATCCCCGACTAGAGCGAAAGAAAGACCCGACGAACCTGCACCATGGTGCATGATAAACAAAGGGCCCTTTCCAACAGGAGACGTCAGGTAGGCATGGATGGTAGGGTCTGTAGGGCTACTTGGATCGTGGAGGAACAGTTCCCGCTGGAAATAAGTAGTCCAGGGGATCTGTTGGAGAGATCGTCCTCTCGGCGCGCTGTGTACCAGAATCAGCTGCCGTGGAAATGAGCGCATACGGGTTGAGAGGAACTACCCCTGTGGTCTGGCAAATAAGTTCTGGCTTGGAGAAGGGATGACGGTTCCCGTAGAAGAAGCTGAGGATGCCGAGGATGAATCATCGTCAGGGTGTTCTAGAAGTTCCGGAACCTGGTCAGCCTCATCTTCGTCCCGCTCATCGAAACTCTCGGGAGGTAAGGCGGCTAGGCGGTTCTTGGCCCAGGCCCTCTGAAGGTTGCTCATTATGAAGCGGCAGCGGCTGCAGCTAGGTGGGTAGTTGGCTTCCCAATCGTCGTCACATTAAAATGAAATAAGACGGTAATCAAGTATATGCAGGTCATAATATGGGGCAACTCGAATGACTGCAATTATTCTGTCCGAACCTAGGCACCATGCCCACTCAAGTAAACTTGCGATCGTAGTAGGGAGGATCTACTTGAAGAAATGGGTAATGATAGGAGTGTATGATAGATTGTGGTAAAGGTTGATAAAATAAAGGAGTATCCCACTTCCTTAGTGGGGGGGAAGGGAAGCCAATCTAATGGTTCCACTACCGTTTGACATCACTCTTTCCCCACTATCAATGTGAGCACTCAGCCTAAGCCTTATTACATAATTTAAGTACCTCTTTAGATACATACCTCTGGTTCTTCTAGATATATTCTATTAAGGTATCCCATTTATGATTTCTCTTTATAAACCTCATTGTTAGTTTGAATAAAATAAAATAATTAACTAGGTTTTTATGCTGTGTAATTCATTTAGTCTACCATTACTTCATATCACAGTAAGATTCGTTGGGTCTTAAATTTAAACCACGCATAAATCCGTATAAACTCGCTACAGAATATACAATATACCACCGCTCTGACGAATATCTCTTGAAAGATTCGTATAAATGCCTCACTCTAGGGAGGTAACCGTGGTATAATAACCATTTTATACCATAGATTAACGTCGTCTATGCTATTGTAAGCTAATATCCAATTCGAGAGGTGATAGCCCTTAGTTATACATACGATGACTTCATATAACTAGAAGTCCTCTGTCAGAACTTATATATTGATTTCTTAGCTGGTAGCTTCTTAAGAGGTTAACTCAAAGGTGGCATCGGGAACTAATACAGCTGGACATACTATAAACATTCCGCTCTTGTCCAGACTAGCACCTCGGGTATCTAAATAGACCACAACAAAACGAGTTCATCAGCAGTCAAGTTCCCTGGACTAGGATCCTACGAATTAGATCCACGAGTACCCTTCTGGTTACCCTTCGATACAGAGATGTCCCTAAACACCGCAATATCTCGCTGGAACTAACACTCTTTATGAAGTGGCGAGATGACTCCTGATGAAGTTAATACCAAGTGGATCGTCCACTGTTGTGATAGACGCTGTGACCGTCATATCAGGGTCAATGCAACGAAAGGCTTCGAATGCGACTATTAGATCGTTTATAGCGAAGTCGTGACGAAGAAAGTTAGCAAGACAAGTCAGCTTCATACTATCTCAGCCACGCCCGAATCAACCAACTTCCTTGCATCCGACCACCTCAGAATAACGATATCGCCATTCTTGCCGTCCATCACGCCGTCCTCATCAGTCCCACGCCCTTCCACCCGTGTATCTCCTAGTAAGCGGATAAACACGGCCGTATCTAGGTCCGGCGTGTCTATCATGCTAATATTCCCAGCCGTATCATTGAGATTCTGTAGCGTTGCCGGGAACGACGATAGGAACGAGGAGAGATAATGATTGTGGAGAAGAGCCTGGTGCCGAGTCGCATATGCGAGTTCAGGCGGTGAAAGACGAGCCCGGATGATGGGGTTGGAAAGGTAGTGCAGGGTATGCTTGTCGATCTAGCAGATAGTCATACATACATGATTAACACCCGTAATATACGAGATTAAGTGATTATACGGCATATAACTTACCTTAGCTATACGGGCTCTCAAGTAACTCCGCACCAAGTACTTATACCTCTCAAGCTCGGTCTGTATAACGATCAAAGCAAAGTTGGTCTTGGGATCCATATCGCCCGTCATTTCCTCGATTTTCTCGATCTGCTGCTTAATACGCTCGTTTATGCGCTCAAATAAGCCGTCGGTCGGCCAACTATAAGACGGAAAGGGCTGTCAGTGTCGAATCATGAGGGATCCGTCGACGGCGTTGCATACTCGAGTAGCTCGGGTGAGGACCTCTCTGCGACCCAGGCGCGCGTTAACGCTTGTAAGTCGCGTGTGTCTTCGGGGATGGAATCGAATGTAGGATCGACCTCTCGTAATATGTCGTCGATATCCATTGCTAGCGGTAGTCTTCTTGGTATCTGTCTAGTTGAAAAGATTTGAATATTAAGATATTCGGCTACTGATTTACCTTAGGTAAGTAGTAACTCTTTCGTTATATTTGCGTATATCGTCCTATAATGTTATGGGTCAATCGCGCTATATTAAAGAGCTCACAGCGCATATCTGTTAGGCGTTGATAGTGATAGTAGTGGGGTAATTTCTAACCCCACTGTACTACCTAGGTAGGTATTACAATATACACACAGTAGGTACTTACTGATACCTACATGTAGTAGCGCTTCCATGGCACTGGTCAGCCCCCAGCGAAAATTAAAGGCCCAGTCTTGGCATTCTCCCTCCAAAACAATACCATATAATATATTCAAAATAAGCATGAAAAAAAGGATTGAAAAAAGGGAAAAAATTATATATTAGCTCGTTAGCCTTTATTATCATTATAAGTCATTTTTATAATTTTACTACCTTAAAAATGGTGGAATTATATATGCGTAAATGCTGATTCTTTAAGAAGGGCTAAATGCCAAGACTGGGCCTTTATTTTTCGCTACTGACTGCTGGTTTCCACCATGCATCCTTTAGTTTGCGCCAAGAATATTAATATAGCGGAACGTTGTCTGCCAAGACAAGCCAAGCCGGCTCTATCCCGAGTCTCATATTTCCCACGCAGATTCCCAGATACGCGAAGATGAGCTCAATATACTCAACATAAGGTAGGTAATATAACATTCCGATCCACGGGTGTATTACAATGTTAATTGAGTATACGAGTTATAATATGTATAAATGTGGTCCTCTAGCGCTAGTGGGAGGCCCTGCAACTTATGAGTTACATGTAGTTAGACAGGAAATACTGAGTAAAAGGATTTAGCATAATTCTCTAAATAGTTACAATCATAGGTACTTATTTCCTAACATTTAAAATGGTTTACATTGCTAAGCTACTCGTTAATGATTTGAAATCGTTCCATCATGGCGAACCTCCTCCCTTATAACGTATAATCGAGACTATGGCTGACTTTATATAGAGCCATTCCTGTCTGATAGATTCAAACCTGCAAAAAAGTTATTCTGCAAGCATAACAATAGGCATTATGCTCCTTTCGCAATAGTCGAAAACATTATCCAATAAATTCCGTGCTTACCAACGTCTCCCAAGGCCTCTGCGTTTCCCATACCTTTTGCATGAGCCGCCGTGCATTATGAATCTAAAAGGCCGTCAGAAGTAGCCACTTAGGACAAGAAACTCATCAAGCTTACCTGAGTCATTCCATGATTCTCAGCTGTCATGAATCGTTTGAGTACTAGAGTCCTCTGTCCCTCATCAATAGCATCACATCCCGCGGTAAACATAGGAAACAGAAGGCAAGATTCTGCTGTCCCGCCCGGTCGAATACGGCTGAAGCAGTCGATGATCTTCTGTACTGCAACCTGGACGGACCTGTCTTCGGTTGGCTTCCCCATGATCCTGCGGTAGAGATGGACGAGCCCAGCCCAATGAAAAGCCTCGTTCGTTGCCTCCATCTCTCGCCTATCCCACTTCTCCACATCTCCTTTCTTGTGTATGTGCTTGCAAGGCACCGGTAACTGAATCATGCTATCCTTAATAGCTTCTTCAATCCTCGAGGCCTGCCCTAATACTTCGTCGCTTGGCTCCCAGTCTTGTCTCACATCAAGGTCGTCTCCGATGCGCTCGGAATCACACTTCCTAGCCAGGTCAGCAATATTGGCAAGGAGGTAGATGCATCGCGTAGTGAAGCCCATGATACAGTCTATCTCATCATAGCCATCTATAATGTCATCCACTTCGTAGTCGAATATCCAGGTTGATGACGAGTCTTTCGGTCCCCCACTAAGGCTTCCTATAACGTCAAGATATGCAGCCCAGCTCCACAAGAAAGAGCAGACCGGGTCGTGACGAAAATTCGACTGAAATCCGCGAAGGCCACCTGGGCGCGCAGTTATGAGTTCTCTCGCAAGGCCCAGATGTCTTTGCCATGGCATATCATATCCGAATACCTTTGGTGAGATTATCTCAAGCGAAGCTAGCATAATAGCCGTCGCGAGGTTCGCGTCTGAAAAATTCTTGTCTGGGTCGTTCAGATCCTGCCTCAGAGCTGGAAATACGTTGTCAACCCAAGTAGCAATCCGAATTGTAGGCTCTGGGTGGTTCAGAACGCGTGCTCTATGCGAAGCTATGTGACCAATTTAGTATGATTTTAGCTTCTTGGGCAGCTGACATACCAGAATATGCCAATAGAAGTGCCAAAAGATTGTCATTCTTGACGGCCATCTGCGGGAGTATTGTCCGGAAGGGATTTGCATGTGGATCATCATAAGGAACAAGAACTACATAAATATTTAGTTTATAGTCAACCAAGACAGGAAAACTTGCTTACCTCGAGCGGTATGGTTCAAGAAATGATGCTAATGTATAGGATATAAGTTAAGGCCCCATTGAATTGAATAATACAACTCACGAAATACTGTCGACTATTAGATATGGCGTGGAGATCTTGGGATAGCGCTACTCACAAGAAGGTTCATAGGGTTATCAATTAATCTAGCGAAATGTCAATAAAGACCAGGGAGTTTGCACTTTCTTCTGGTTGATGGTTCTGACTTACTGCGTGGGAAGCGGCTCGAGGCTGCGAGGGATATATATCGAAACTGGCCTTGAATAATATCCACCCTCCTCTTCAATAAACTCATTAGTCTCGACCCCGAACCCAAATTCGGTCCAAACTAGATCATCAATCGGTTCAAAAGGGGTATCCAAAAATTCGCGTTGTAGTAGCGGCGATGACCCACTAATAGCGATTGTGTCTTCATTCTTACCCAGGTCACGATCCGGAAAACCGCGGTCAATGCCGTAATAAGTTGCTTCTGTTGATACACGCGTTCGAGTGTCTATTGGTGGTAGGCTGGCCCTTACTCGACTGGCACTTTCGTCTTGTAAAGCTTGAGGGCCCGGAGGTATCGACAAAAGTGAATTTACGGAAAGTCTTCGGCTAGCGTGACGTTGGTCATCATCGCTGTATGTAGAAGATGTGGTAGGGGTTAGAGGAGAAGCAGACGTTAGGCCAGAGCCAACTGTAAATCTGAAGGATGCCACGCTCGAGTCTAAAGTCGAGCTGGCCGCTGAGTTGTGCCTCTGTTCAATCGGATGCGCTGATTGGGGATCAGGAGTATGAAGATCCGAGGCCAGCTTTGCGCGCTTGCTGGCAGGCAATGATTCCGTATCGCCGATAGTCCTGAATGATGGATTGTCTAAAGGAACTGCTATCTGGGAAAGAGGCCTATTATGGTCGAGCTTTGGCTGACTTTGTGGACCGGTAAGGGGCTCAAGCCTCCGTGCTCCTGGGTTGTCAGATGAAGGATATTGGTGCACCAACTTGAACCCTCTGGCAGGCAAAGGCGGCGATAAGACTTCCTGACTGAAATCTAGCACACCGGGCTCTGGCCGCTTCCCCCTTCGGCCTTCCCAGTTCAAACGGATGCTATAGTCACATTTTTCACCTGTTCTTTGACAGCTTTAAGTAAGAACCGTTAGCTACTATAGACTCTTGTAGAGGGATATATCTAATATATAATAAAAATAGTTTACTTTAAACAATGGGGCCGCTCCTCGCCGCATTTGATCTTACGGTTTTTACACGGCCTGATGTGAGAGTCAGCACGACAGCATAGCAGGGAGGAAGGACTGAATAGTCAAGGATGATATACATACCAACATCCATTTCGACTTCGCCTTTTCGGTTCTGGTGCGCCGGGTCTTTTCGGACGTGGCATTATACGCCGGCGACTCTTACTCACGGTGAGTGGCCTAAGTATGGGAAATTGTACGAGCACAATATCCCTCGTTCCGACAGCGACCGCGGCGCATATTCGACATGCAGGACTCTCGGTTTGAGAGGCAGCTATTAACTGGGAAGGATTGTTACACGGCTCGCTGACCAATGCAGGACAAGAGGAAGGATGAGATGGCACAGTTGCAATCCAGTTATAGTCCCGAGAAGTTGGTTGCGAGGAGAATACCGAATACCTTTCGTGGTGGTGGTGGGAGGGCGACTTTATGATCAATCCGGGGTTGGGATTGGGAATGGGGATTGGGGATTGATATTATATAGCTCTGTGTCTTAAAACACTCTTCCTTGCAGGAGTGATAGGTAATGACGAATATACCAGGCCTTGCTAACACTCTTTTTTTTTCTCTCTCTCTATCTCTGGTCTGGGGTCTAGGGATGCGTAAAAGATAAGGCCAAGACTAGGTACAGTAGGAAAGCCAGCGGAACGACGGGGGATGATTGACCAAAGAGATATGGTAAGCGCACATTCTGCAAGACCCCGGGAATGCGAGTCCCGGAATCCCATACGATGATTGGAATTGGTCAAGTCCCTCTGCACTGGAACCGGGGATGTTCACGTAAACTGTAATGTGGTAGGAGGACAAGGGCCCCGACGGCTCGGCTTCCAAAGAAAAAAAGGATTAGTGTACATGTGTCACAGTAAAGAAATAATTAATTATATACTGTATATTATACACCACACGTGTTACCCCGCTTTCCGCTCTCGCACAATTAAGCAACGTTAACTGGCTGCTATTTCTCTCAAGTTCTTAGGGCAGGCAGAACAAGATGGGGGTTATATCCGATAGGTATCCGATGTTTAATTTTATGCATGTGTAATGTGTGTAATAGTATTCCTACGCTAGTAATAATTTAACTAGCTAGAGTGTTCGAATTCTTACATTATATTCGTACCTAACATTATAAATCTCGAAATCCGGATACTCGGTATCGTATATTATGGTATTGTACAGTGTGCGCCTGTTACCTTAAAATCGTGGGGTATTGTAGCTAAGGCTGCTCAGGTTGTGGAAGCGGGTGCGGCGAAGGAACACCCCCTTCACAAGGCTTAAGTCCTAAATAGGTGGGGTACCTTAGCGTCAGATGGGGGGTAGTAGTAGCCGTATATATACCGTATATATACGGCTCCCAGGTATGAGCGGCTCCCAAATGTTAGTGAAAAACGTGAAGCTCACCAAATTCATACGTATCGGCGTTTTGAGCCAATCAATTTTTTTTGAGTGGTACAAGTGCTGCGCGGCTCCCCCACTGTGAGCGGCTCCAGCCAATGAGCGGCTCCTGCGCCCCTCATATTTTTTGCGCCGCTCCCAATTGGGAGCCGCTCCGGGTAAGTGCATATATAAAAATTAAAAGGTATATTCCCATACGTTTTTGTATGGGAATCTACCTCTTTTTATTTTTATTTTTTTACTTTTTTTATTTTTTATTTTTATATGGTCACAATTACAATTACAGGTTACGGCATACGATTGATTTTATTGGAAAGTTACGTGTTTTTCAAATAGACTAAAGCATATTACGTTACGGGCACGCGTGTGGATTTGTAATTATGGGGTATAAGGGGTCTGTGCGGCCGGAGTGTATGTAATAATACCCTATACGTACCGCTCAAAGCGGGGAGCGGCTCAAAACGGGAGCGGCGCAAAAAGTGTGAGAGGCGCAGGAGCCGCTCATTGGCTGGAGCCGGATTTTTACTACTCCTTTAGGTCTACCGTTCCAAAATTTCAGAACGTTTAAACCGTAAGCGGTAACGATACCACTTAAATATTTGAGTCACTTAATTCTTTAAACGTAAGAATTGGGAGCCGCTATTTGAATTGAGTGGGATAAATACGGCTATATTTAATGAGCGGTATATATGCAGCTACTGCTACCCCCCCTAAGACGCTAAGGTACCTAAGGCCTAAGGTTAAGCAGGCCAGTGGGGTTTTGCCTCATGCTTATCGGAAGCCGTAAAGACCGATAGAACGGAAAAGCTTACCTAACCCATTAATTATTTAGATTAGCTCTACCTAGATTAAGAGCTTACAAGATGCAGCGCCGGGAATTTTCAGAGCTGTTCACAGCCTCATCACAGCCTCGTCTAGAATACGGTGTTCATTAAACCGGTCGAGTTTCTTATTGGTAGAAGCTCTAGTAGAAGCCGGTATAGCATTTAATTGATAACCACGTCTATCATTTTGGATTTTATACACCTTTTCCGCCGACCGTTCCTTAGCTGTATCTTCGTGTTTACAAAATGGCCGAAGTAAATAATAAGAGAAGTCATTCTGACTTCGCTGAAAATAATGGCGATGGTATGGCCCTTTGAATATTCCAAACAGATATTAATACTAACTCCCTACGTTTAGATAGCTCCTCAGACGATGATATGGGACCCCAGTTACCCTCTACAGCAAGTGCACCCAAGAAGAAACGACGCGTTCTACCACACGAAAAGCTCTATATCGAAGCGCTACCTAAGTCGGCACGCTACTCGAAATCTCTCATGCACAAGGAGCAGTTGGCTTTTTTGAACGTCACGCGATCTGATTTTCTCATTACAACATCTGTGGACGGAGTAGTCAAGTTTTGGAAGAAAGTTGAGCAAGGAATTGAGTTTATTAAAGAGTTTAAGGCTCACCAGGGCGAAGTACGATCGGTATCAGTTAGCCATGATGGGCGGAGCTTTGCGACAGTCGGCATCGACAAAACCGTCAAGATTTTTGATGTTATCACTTTCGACCTTCTCGCCATGCTTCCTCTAGACTACGTCCCCAAGTGCGTCTGTTGGGTACATAAACTCGGCGCTTCGTTACCGCTCCTAGCTGTCTCGGACGACTCAAAACCGTTGATTTACATATATGACGGGCGTGGAGAAAACCAAACACCGATACACACTATCAAGGGCCTACATAGGAGTCCCGTATCGATAATGGCCTTCAATGACGCCTACGACTGTGTAGTATCTGCCGACGACAATGGAATGCTTGAGTACTGGTCGCCAAGCGCCAACTACGAAAAGCCGGAAAATGTGTTCCAATACAAGAGCTCTACCAATCTCTTTGATTTCAAGAAATCGAAGTCGACGCCGGTCTCCTTAACAATATCACCCTCAGGTCATCAATTTGTAACATTCTCCCTACCTGATCGTAAGATCCGAGTTTTCGAATTTGCGTCGGCTAAGTTGTATCGGACTTATGACGAATCTCTTCAGGTCATTGAAGAGATGCAACGAGCAGGAACATCCATGCAAAAGCTAGATGATGTCGACTTCGGAAGAAGGCTCGCTGCGGAGCGGGAGATTGAAACCCCTTTACTTCGAAATAAGGTCAATGTTATTTTCGACGAATCGGGCCACTTCATCTTATATGGCTCCATCCTCGGCGTCAAGGTGTTGAACACATATACTAACCAAGTTGTGAAAGTGTATGGGAAAGATGAACATATACGCCCAATCAACCTTGCTATATACCAAGGGCAACCTCAGAAGAAAGGTGTTACAACTGTAGAAATGGCTGCTTCAAACAATCCCCTATTGCAAGAATCGGAGGCGAGAGACCCAATACTCTTCACAACGGCTGTAGGAAAGGTTCGCTTTTATATGTTTACGAACGATGAAGAAATATCCAGATCAGAAAGAGATGTTCAAAACGAGAAGCCAACTATAATAAACCCTAAGCAAGCCGCCCAGAAAAAGGCCGGTGAGACTGGCACATCAGCTATTCTTCATACAACATATGGAGATATTCATATCCGCCTCTTTCCCGACGCTGCGCCGAAGGCCGTTGAAAACTTTGTAACTCACTCCAAACGCGGATATTACAATAACACCATCTTCCACAGAGTAATACGCAAGTTCATGATTCAAGGAGGTGATCCCCTGGGCGATGGTACAGGTGGTGAAAGCATATGGGGGAGGGAATTTGAGGATGAGTTCAGTACCCTCAAACACGACAAGCCTTATACCGTTAGTATGGCGAATGCTGGTCCAAATACCAACGGAAGCCAGTTTTTCATCACCACAGAAAAGACTCCGTGGCTTGATAATAAACATACGATATTTGGGAGGGCGGTGCAGGGATTAGATGTGATCCATAAGATAGAGAATGTACGAACGTATAAGGAGAAGCCCGAGGAGGATATCAAAATCCTTAATATTGATATAGCCTAAGTGTATATATAACTTGATAATAATTGACTTGAGTATAATATCATTTTTAAGTCAAGAACTTGAGGCTAAATAATAGAACTAATTATTTTAAATGGTGTATTATAAGATAAAAATGAAGAAAATAAGATACGGTATTATTATATAAATCTCATTAATGAGGAGTTATTGACTTCAAAGGTATTTTGCAACTCCAATTGCTTCATGCACACACAGCTACGTCATGTAAAACGCAGTACCATATGCATGTACCGATTTCAATAATCTGTCAAATTGAACTCGGCCACTCGCAGACCTCGTGCATCCGGCGCTTACCGTCATTGGCAGATCAGAGACACCGGGCAGGATGCAAGACCCGACAGTCCGGTCGAGCAATCAAACATTCCCATTTTCAAGCCACATTTTCATGTGCGTTTCCTAAAATAAGGGCAATTTATTTGACATGACGTCTCCTTTTCGGTGATACCTAATATGTTATTATTGAATTGCGACGTTTAGATATGGTATTCGAGCTAGACACTCACTTTGATGTTTATTTATTTATTTATTTTTCTTTCTTCATTAAGTATATTGGTATCTGTCTGAGAGAAACTATTTAGAAAGTTCATATTAAATTATCGTTCACTTTGTTGCCGAAATGGCCGGTCGTCATCCGCTTCAGAGGCTCGCGTCCCCATCGAGACAACTTTCTGTTTTACTTCACCTGGTGGGGATACTGTCTTTTGCGAGCTCGTTCAAGTTTCTAAGTACATGGGAAACACCAATGTCAGCTGCCTTCGGAGGGCACTTCCAGTTTCTCACCATTATTGGACTCTCCCTGGCGTTATGCACCTTCGGGGTCGGGTTTCTAGCCGACATTACGCTTTCCTCTCGGCTATTTGCGCTGAAGAATGTCCTCTCCGTATGCTCGACACCACTAGAGGTATTGATCAGCATCCTATATTGGGGTCTTTGCGCTATCGACAAAAGCTTAGTCTTCCCGCCCGAGTTCCAGTTGGACTTGCTCCCAGATCTAGGATTCCATGCCGCGCCGGCAGTTTTCCTAGCGGTGGATCTGCTGCTCCTCAGTCCGCCGTGGATGATTCATGGCTTCTCATCGTTGGCCCTGAGCGAAACTTTGGCACTGTTATACTGGTTTTGGGTAGAGTACTGCTTCTCCCGCAATGGCTGGTATGTTGCTTTATTTCCTTTGTCCGCTCCCTATAAGAAAAAAAATATAAAAAAGCTTTGTCCTTCTAACTTCTCGAAAAGGTACCCCTATCCCATTTTCGATCAGCTTAGCACGTGGCAGCGGATGGTATTGTTTACGTTCTCTGCCCTGTTGATGACTGGAAGCACTACGATATTAAAATGGACTTATGGAAAAGTCAACGGTATCGAGGAATTTAAAAGGGAGGCTGTAGCGGATCCTGCAGGTATCCGGAAGAGGAAGTGAATAAGATTTCTAGATATTGGGGTACCATATCACAATGAAAAATATCTCATAAATTCCGTAGATCAAAGCTTTTATGTATTCTAGGTACTTATGCAAAAATCTCAGCTTATACAAGCAGCATTAGATAACCATATCAGACGAATCGAGTTTTCAAAGGGATTCGAGATAATGGACATGGGATACTAGAGTATTTGGGTTAGATAGTGGTTCTTTGATTGTAGATGGTATAAATGTAGTCGAGAAAGGGACCACTTAGACATATCTCTTAATTTGAACTTAATACTTTACCTATGAATTTCTCTGCTGCACGGAGGCAACTATTTTAGGCATTGTACATTGCGCGCAAGAAGTTTCAAATTGAACCCCTGTTCAGTGCATTTTTAATGGTATTTACTACCCCGCCATCGGAGCTATCGCCCCTCGGAGTCTTCACTAAAAATTTCACTAATAGTCCCCACCCCCACTATGACTCTTGATTGCATGGGCTAATATTTATTTTTCTAGATCTTGCGACGATCGGCTGCTTTGCGACAGAATTGAAGAAGCAATTCTACTATATCCAATTCACCACCTATTTCTTGCTAGGTGCGAAAAATTATCGAACTGACTTTCTTCTATTGTGTACAAGGGATTGTATTCGCTTTTATTAGCCCATCATGTCTGTAAGTACATATATATGTCTTAACTTAGACCTTCAAAAAGCAAGCCTGCCTAGATAACCGACTGACTTGTGACATTCAAAGAGCTTCTACATTCCAAACAGGGACGTCGGCAACAAAACTACTGGGGATGATTGGAGAAGTACGTATAGATCATCAGAAGACAAATGATTATAGAGCTAATTGGTTCTTTAGTCCGCGGCTACAATCCCCTAACGCCTCCGGACCTCCTCCAGCACGAAATCCCACATACGACCAAATCAAAGCAGACGGTCCTCGAAGGTCGCGATGAGGTAGTAGCCGTAGTCAATGGCACCGATGAGAAGGATAGACTCTTAGTCATCATTGGACCATGCTCCATTCATGACCCGAAGTCGGCCCTCGAATACTGCGACAGACTACTGAAGGAGAAGGAGAAGTATAAGGATGAGTTACTCATCGTCATGCGGGCTTACCTTGAGAAACCACGAACCACAGTAGGATGGAAGGGTCTAATAAACGACCCGGAGATCGATAACAGCTTCCAAATTAACAAAGGATTGCGAATGTCAAGGCAACTCTTCGTCGACCTCAATGACAAGGGGATGCCCATCGCTAGCGAGATGCTGGATACTATCTCACCACAGTTCCTAGCAGATGTTCTCTCAGCCGGAGCAGTGGGTGCTAGGACAACTGAAAGTCAGTTACACCGTGAATTGGCGAGTGGCTTGTCTTTCCCAGTAGGATTCAAGAACGGCACTGACGGAACATTGGGTGTTGCTATCGATGCTATCGGTGCTGTCAGACATCCTCATCATTTCCTCTCCGTTACGAAGCCTGGGGTTGTAGCTATCGTTGGCACTGTTGGTAATGAGGACTGCTTCGTGATCCTCCGGGGTGGAAGCCGTGGTACCAACTACGACGCGAAGAGCATCGCAGAGGCCAAGGCAGCCCTAGCCAAGGCAGGTTTACGCCAACGTCTCATGGTAGACTGCAGCCATGGAAACTCGTTGAAAAACCACAAGAACCAGCCTAAGGTTGCCGCCGATATAGCAGGTCAGATCTCCAAGGGAGAGGCCGGCATTATGGGAGTTATGATCGAAAGTCATATCAACGAAGGCAAGCGTTCCGTATGATCCAGGTACCTAGTTCAGATTGCTAACTATTTGCCCTTATAGGAAGCCAGAAGGTCCCCAAAGAAGGCAAGGATGGTCTACAGTATGGTGTCAGTATCACGGATGCTTGCATTGGATGGGAAGACACGGAATCAGTCCTTGCTACTCTCGCAAATGCCGTCAAAGAACGGAAGAAGGTAAATAGTATAAATGGTCATCCGTTAGAAATTAGGAGCGCTTAGATGGGAGCTACCTATTATAAAAAAAAACAAAGACGGGGAAGTCTCGCGATCTGTAATAAAAGATGGATTAAAAATCTCAAGATATCCAAACGTTCGGCACAAAGGAAGGGGAAAAAAAAAGATAACTAAACTAAAAGCGTTCTTTGCGTTAGAATTATTATACTTAGGTCCTTCTTAGAAATGGAGCCAATGGGTTAACTAAGTTTAATATGATAAAATACCAATACCATATAGGAAATAAATTATAGGAAGTGTTGAATTTGTCTCCAACTCGACGTCGTTCTACATATCCGTGAAATAAAGAAGCTCGGTAAAAAAGGTTCGTTGTAGGCCGATGAATGGCGGTCCCCGACCAGCCGATCTGCTGGGTTTAGGCCCGTACGATTTAAAAAACCTAAGTCTTGGCATATTTAGTCACGTGTATAGTGGAATAAGCCCAGCGAAGCTAAATTCGGCCAATAAGATTCATGTATTTCCAATTGCTTCAAGGCCTGAGCACTTTTTCATTCAACCTTGTTGTTTAAACCGGTTCGACCTCTTCCAACCCCAACGACGATTCTTACCCGCTCTCTCATTGCATTGTCAACCTACCCGTTGCCCACCTCCTACGAACGGGTAGAATCTAGCCCTTCATGTTGGCAAGGTCTTGCCTGCGCTCTACGCGCATTTTCAACGGCGCCAGAAATGGCGCGACCGCCTTCACTAAGGTACGCATCGACTGACGTCGCCTAGAACCCCCATCTATAAAGCCTGGTGGCTACAGCAATAGCTGTTACAATTATATATAGCGGAGGAAGCAATGATATAGCTAATAATTGCCGTTCTGCAGCGGTCCATCTCCACATCTGGTGCCGGAGTCGAATCCCCTCTGAAACTAAATGTAACTGCCGCCGCTTCCACAGCTCTCGCTATCGGATCCGTGGCATGGTATTACCATCTCTATGGATCTACTGCGCATGCCATGACGCCCGCCGAGGAAGGGTGAGTTCAGGTTTCTATATGTGGAAGAATCATACGATTTATCTTCCTTTAGTCCGACACTAGAAGATAAATGGGAAATTATCTAGTATCTTATATACTAATGATGCTAATACGTTAAATTAGTCTGCACCCGACGGCATACCCATGGGTTCACCAGCAGTGGTTCAAGACCTTTGACCACCAGGCGTAAGTATAAAAACTCATGCTTCTAAGGCTCTATCGTTACTTACATGCCATTAGACTTCGTCGAGGTTTCCAAGTCTACCAAGAAGTTTGCGCGGCATGCCATTCGCTTAGCCGAGTTCCTTACCGAACACTTGTTGGAACTGTCCTAACAGTAGATGAGGCGAAGGAATTGGCGGAACAGAACGAGTACGACACCGAGCCTAACGATGAGGGTGAAATCGAGAAGCGACCCGGAAAGCTTTCGGATTACATCCCAGCTCCGTACAAGAACGACGAGGCTGCTCGAGCTGCCAACAATGGCGCCCTTCCTCCTGATCTAAGTTTAATTGTCAAGGGCCGACATGGTGGCTGTGACTACATTTTCAGCTTACTGACCGGATACCCTGACGAGCCGCCGGCGGGCGCTCAGGTCGGCGCCGGTCTCAACTTCAACCCTTACTTCCCGGGCACCGGTATTGCTATGGCCCGTGTCCTATACGATGGTCTTGTGGAGTATGAGGATGAGACCCCTGCGTCTACCTCGCAGATGGCCAAGGATGTGACAGAGTTTTTGAACTGGGCGGCGGAACCTGAGATGGATGACCGAAAACGAATGGGCATGAAGGTGTTGACTGTTACCGCAGTCCTATTCGCTCTAAGTGTCTGGGTTAAGCGATACAAGTGGGCAACGCTCAAGTCGAGGAAGATCGCCTACGACCCACCAAAGGTAACCGACAAGGTCCGCTCGTAAGGATATCCACTGCTGTATGTACTACTAAGTTACCATACCGCTCCTTTGTTATAGCAAGAGGAGAAGAAGAAAAAAGACTTGAGGTTGCAAGGGGTTGGAGTAATCCTGAGTCACGACTCTAGAGTGTATATCAAGTTCCTAAATTTTAGACGTTCACGGAAAGTTTACTTGAAGTACATGGGCGACTTGATAATGGATTTTTATGATGAGAATATTTTCTCTCAATTTGGTTAACCTCGAATTGCACATTTGCTTATTCGGTGTGTTTTAAGTACTGCGCATGGAGTAATTTCAGTTTGGGGATAAGGTTATCTCTGTCGATAGAAGCTATCCACGTGTATATGTACCTCTTCCTAAGGTAGGTACATTCATACACAACATGGGTAGATTGCCTCTGGGTAGGTACCTATACATTACATTAGTAAGGTATAAGAATATACCTAAAACAGTGAGTCATTAGATAGGATAATCTTTTGAAGAAGTGGGAAGGTGCGCACGGGGAAAGAGAAGGGGGGGTCTTCCTCAGCCTCAACCTTAAGTCTCTAGTACTGTAATTCAGGTAATTCAGTGTTAGGTACATACCAGACTATAACACACATAAACTCGCTATAGTCACCGTCTACCTCATACCTATTAGCACCTATTGGTGTCCAGGTAAGGCGGTGACCTCAATTGCCTAAATGTACCTGGGTACGTATTCTTTCTGCATTTACATTTATACATTTAATTTTACCTTTCTTATTAAACGAACCGTGTCTCTCAACACATCTTACAACTAATCCAAACCTTCCCAATCAACTTCCCGACAGCATATATCACATCACCTATCCAACAAAAAAAATAGCAACCATCTACCAACACAACTTCTTCGAAGTGATACTCACACTTCAGACTCGACACATCTAGACAAGATAGTATTTAAATATACCTAGGTATGTCCAAGTAGCTCGTCTAGATACCATCGCTTCATTCGTGGCGAAGCACCCGTCTTCAATAACCATTGAAGTTCCTAGCTCAGATTTTTACAGGTATTTCATTGGTGCTATTGATCAGATGGCGTACGATCATTTAACCAAGACGGACGATGAGGCTCGTAACCAGCTAGCTCTCGATTATACATATGGCTTTGACACTTCCAGTAAATCTCAAGAGTGGTACCTCGGAGACATAATAGTGAACAGATGGGCGCCTGAGGACGAAATCAAACACTTCACTCGCCACAGCCTGATGCGTGGCTATGAAGAGTGGCATTTGATGTTCTCTTGTGCCAACACTTTGAAAGAATCGAAAGAAGCCTCTTCTTTCAATGACCCCCTCGAGGGACAAGACCTTCTTACCTTTCTCACCGAGGTCCTCTCCCCACGCTCTGGCCCTCTAGATGATGACATCAGCAGACAGAAGTCGAATCTTCATCTTCATACTTCAGATGTTGCACAAGAACCCCAATCTCCCCAACCAAGCACGAAACCAGGGAAAAGGAAGAGAGATGCATCTCACGAACAGACATATCTAGAACAGCCCACCAAGAAGCACGGAATGAACAAGACATCGCCATTCTGGTCCGCAAATAACCCAGATTCTTCCCTTCAGAAATTCCACCAGTCAGCGGATGACAAGGAGTCTAAAAGTGGGAAGAAGAAAAGTGGAAAGAGCTCAAGGAGAAAGGGAGACAGAAAAGCTAGAGAGTCACTGCCCGGATTTATCAGTACACCTCTAGCTGAGAGCCCAGTTCTTCAAGAAGTCCCCAAAGTTCGCCGCAGCCAAGACAATATCTCTATATCGATGGAATCCTATGATGCCGAACAGGAGATAAATCCTCCGTTACTTCTTAAGGATCTTAGAATCTCTTTAAAAGGTTGCCACTCATAGACAGCCGGGAGTCTATGAGTGGCCAGGGTGGTGTTTTGCATACTACTCTTCCACTGCGCGTTTCTCATGCAAATACTGAAGCAGAAAAGTCATCAGCAGGCTTGCAATCACCATCACCTACACCCGGAATTGTTGAAGGAGCTTTCGACGCAGCTACGTTGAGCTTAAGCGAATCGGATGAAAATGAGGATCCAGAAATCAACGGCGCAACATCTCATGAGAGATATAACAGGTCTCCTCAACCAGTAGCAAAATGTATAACTCCAAAACGCAAAACTAAGTCCCCTTACTTTGACACAATGGACACGCTCAGCCCGCTCAAGATAAAATATCCCCGACCTCCTCGAGGAACAGTTCCTTGCGTACCTTTTCCACGCTTAGACGCCTCCAATTTCGGCTTGATTCAAGAAGACCTCGCATCCGATCCTCTTCGTTTGCTTATTGCAGTGACCTTTCTGATACGAGTAAAGGGGAAGTATTCAATACCCGTGTTCCACGATCTCGTAAAAAGGTATCCAACACCGAGACATCTAGCAGAAGCAGACACAAACGATATAATAGCAATGATTAGACACCTCGGTCTTTCTGCGATTCGGGCTACTGCAATCCAGAAATATGCGCGAATATGGATAGAGAACCCACCTCGAGCTGACATTCGATATGGGGTGAAGAATTATCCACAGCTAGGTGACGGTACCGACGTCCGGACTACAGAAACGTTAAGTCCTGACGATCCTAGGTCGTCGGCTTGGGAAATTGGCCATATGACACAAGGTCGGTATGCTATAGACAGCTGGAGAATATTCTGCAGGGATGTCCTTCTCGGCCGTGCAGAAGACTGGAGAGGCAAGGGGCGTGAAGGAGAATTCCAACCTGAGTGGATGCGAGTGTTGCCGGAAGATAAGGAACTCCGTGCTTGTCTTAGGTGGTTATGGATGCAGGAGGGCTACGCGTGGGATCCGAAAACAGGAGAGAAGAATATCCTCCCGGAAGACTTGCGAAGGGCGGTTAATGAGGGTCGAGTTGCATATGATGACGCTGGCGAGCTGCAAATATTGGACAAGGAGGCACTTATATGTAATGGTGCCCTTTAAGGTATATGATAGCTCCACTCACGAATATACTCTCTTATAGGGGGTCGCTCTTGATTGTGCATTGGCTATAAGTACGCCCTACTTGGCCAGCCATAAGATACTAATTTTATGATCATTTAGTATCATAACTTTGTGAGAACCTATTTCAACGTGATAGTTAACAAAATTAGAGAAATATGTTAATTAGTGCCTCTTATCTATCTACATTCCCCAACATCTACCCTATCTTATTCTTCTTTATCTTCGATCAATCCCTTAGCCGTCTCCTGGCGAATAATAGCCTCCAGAATCAAGGCCGTCTTTCTATCGTGTATCTCGTCCAAAGCGTCCGAAGCGCTCAACCAAGCCGCGATCAGGTTTCCCTGGCGTGCATAGGACGTCCGAGTCCACTCCTTAGACCGCAGTTGGCTCTGGCGTAAGTGCTGGTAGCCTAGCCACGGGAAATTGTAAGCTAAGTGCAACTGCATGAGGCGCGGGTGCTCGTCGAGCGAGGAGAGCGCTTGTGCTAGACACATCCGGTAGTAGTGCAGCGAGCCGCCGACGAAGCCCGCGCAGGACCCGAGAAGAAAGCCGATGCTACCACTGCCGGTGAAGATACCGGTTGCGGCGGCGGCTGCTAGACCTACTAGAGCCTGAGAGTGGGTTAGTGGTGGGTTTGGTGATGTGTGTGGAGATAAAGGGGGGATAAAGGGGGGACAAACCGCGGTAGAGGATGCTACGAACATGGAACGGAACATGTAGAGGCCATGGCCGCTTTAGATGAAATTGGGTTAGTTATACATATCTTACTTAGTACTTGTTTATGAGTGTTCGTATACCTTGGTCTGCTCCAGTTTCCAATGGTTCTCAGGAGTTGGCTTACATGGCTACCGACGCTATTGGCGGTGCTCATTTCATAGTCGACCTGAGTGATTGAAATTCATTATGTTAATACTAGTTCTCTAAGACATAAGGAAAGGTATACGCTACCATGTCTAATAATATGACGTGCTTGGAAAATGCCGTATATCAAAATTTGTTTTTCTCTTTGTAGTCCCTCTCTGCGTCGTACGAGGCGTTACCCGACGTTACATGCGCGAAGTATGTAAGTATAAGTGCAGGTATAAGTGCAGGTTATAAGTGCAGGTATAGGTGTATTATTCCCCCCCTGAAGTTGCCGTCTGACAGGCTCCACTAAATAAGATACATAGCGCTGTAATTCCCATAAGCATGTTGCATGCCAACTAACACAAAGCCGACGCCCCATAAACTTAATAGTTTAAGCTTCCAATAGCAACATTCAATATTCCTGTCAATCCAAACTTTTAGCTTACATCATTGATAATTGACTTGTTCATCTCGAGTACCTACAGTAATACCTCCTGCTTACTGCAGAACCGCTTCTTACGTGAGATGGGACGGCTCTTATAGGTTTTTACCTCGAGTCGTGATCGGGGTATCCTACCATCTCCAATTCGCGTATAGAGAGAGAGAGAGAGAGAGACGCATTTGCAATGTCATCTCAGGCAGCGTTGAAGCCGGATCGTTGAGGCCTAACATATGGCATATAGGCGATTAGTAGGTCGGTATAGAATACAGAAATTGCAGATGGGCCTGTGGGAGGAGTATATTAAGTACATGCAAAACCGTCGGACAGTAACACATTGCCTCAATCTTCCTTTCCCTTCCCTTCCCCAAGAGCTGAAAAGCATAACTAGCTCCAATAGGAGAGCTTTAACCCCTTTAACCCCCTTAACCCCTCTAAGATAGCACGACAGCAATACCCCGCAACTCATGCCATACATACAGTCATACATATATACAATAAATAAAGTATACGCGCCATATCCGGGTACTTTAATCGAAACGAACCTAGCTCAGCTTCCTTCCCCCTTTTTTATATATTCTTCCCGGTCGCTCGCTCCATCCCTTGCGTTTACTAACAGGCTCGATGGGCTCGCTCGATTCTCCCAAAGATGAGCTGACCGTGCTGGTCACCGGCTTTGGTGTACGTATTCAGTCTGCGCCATGTCCTCGTTCCCTAGCTAATTGTTGTTTGCAGCCCTTCAAAGAGCAGTATCCCGTGAATCCCGCGTGGGAGATAACTGCCTCGCTGCCGGATTACCTCCCGCCTGACAGGGTTAAGGATCCCGTGCGGCAAGGTCCGTCTGCCCTGCCGGCGGTTCGGATCCTAAAGCACGGTCCGGTCCGCGTCAACTACCAAGTTGTTCGGGACTTGGTGCCGACGCTATGGGATGATCCGGAGCAGAAAGTTGATTATGTCATTCATATAGGGATGGCAGGTCCGCAGCATGTTTATTCTATTGAGAGACGGGGTCATCGCGATGGGTACGACAAGCAGGATGTTGATGGTCAACTTCTTGGTGATGAGCAGAGACGTAAGCTTGAAGGGGATAAATGGATATGGCAGTGAGTACACTTTACCTATGTAGCATTCTACATATCATAAGTATTAACTTATTATCTAGTGACGTTCCCGGAGAGCTTTTAACGGACCTGGAGATCGGAAAGATCTACAAGCGATGGGTTGAGCGCAGCCCGGTAGGATTTATGCCCATAAAAATCCCAACGCTTTGAATATGTACTGACATTAAGAATCCCAAAGGATAACCTCAGACTGCAAATGTCCGACGACGCTGGGCACTACCTATGCGACTTCATCTACTTCTCGAGCCTAGCTCACTTGTATAAGCAACAGCGGCCTAAGAAAGTAATCTTCTTACACGTCCCCTTGCACCCTGACCCTGAATCTCTCAGCCGCGGAAAGGAGCTTGCTTTGCAATTAATTAAGTCGGTATGCGAGGTTGGCCTGCAGCAGGAGCATGTATCTTAATAATTGTGTGGTATATATGTTAGGCACTTTATGAATGGCAGACGGCCCAAGTATGAGTGTACGACAGATATTTGTATGTTAACCCATCTTGTTTGAAACTGTCAACGAAATGATATACATAATTTTCGCTTTTAGAAGCAGTTTGGAATGCTGAAGCCTGGTGTTTAGCTAGGGCTATTAATATCAAGCTTACAACCCATACCATAAACATATATACTAGGTAGTTAGTCCTCCATGGGAAACCGTAGGACATTAGGGGGAAACGATATAACTAAGGCTTTTAAAACAAGTAAAAAATAAAATAATTAAATTTCAATTATTATTATCATCGTTTTTATAATAAGGTCCAAGTGACCTCAAGGTATAAAAAGCATTCTACTTTCCAGGTAGTATATTCCGAAGGCTGGGTTAATCATACCGTTTAAACTTAAAGATATGTATATAAATGATCCAGCGATAGCTGAAAAGTCGGTTCGAAATATTTGGTAACTTAAACGTCATAAACTGGGCCATTGGAACCAATATTAGGACATGGAGATCGTATAGGACATATTTTCCATCCGATTCAAGCTTGGAACACCTCCTCAGCCGTAATATAGCAGTCACTCTCCCTCGGTTGAGACCTATTCTTATACCAATCTAAGAGCTCGACCACATTCTCAAAAACGTCTACCCCAAACTGACCCCTAGTAGTCACATAGCGCCACGACCAATCCCGATTTTCACCTTCCTTTAACCGGCTGTACATAATGTAGCACACCGACGCGTTTCCTTGTCCGCTCTCTAACCCCCCTGCTATTTCATACTTGTCCTCGAATTCATACGCAGTCAACTCGAGGATCTTCTCCCCAGTCACACATCTCCTCATCCACCCCTCCGCGCGAATGTACGACCCGAACGCGCCCCAGCCCTGCCAGAATATCAGCATTTCGCAGTGGTCGCGGAGACGATACCAGCCGGGGCCTTCGAGAGAATCAACGTGTTCTATCAGAAACAACCAGTCTTGCGGTAGCTCCCATTTCCCAGTCGGACACTCGATACGTCCAAGACCCTCCATCACAGCCGCGAGGTACGCCTTGCGCTGAGTAGCCCGCCACGCAGGATCGAAGTGGAGGGCAGCACCGTCGAGAGCGAGCTGCGGCGCTAACACATCCCAGTGCTCGAGGATGTCGGAGGCGCGTTTGATGGGCGGGTTGGTGTCGGAGGCGCCGGCGAGGCCGAAGAGGCCGTACACGAATTCCAGACGGGACTCTTCTTCCTCTTCGGGATACGACCAAAGGTCGAGGTCTTCCATGTCCGCGGCTTCTATTTGCGGGATGATGGCTTTCATGGCGCGGTAGTTGACCGTGCTGATGTGCTCGCGGTAGGCGGTAAGAGCGGAGAGGATGTCGGATTCAGAAGGCATGGTGTATGGTTGTGATGTCGGTGAACCAATTATTATAGAGTTTCTTCGCGCATGGTTGAAAGTACGATAGGAAGAAGGGTATTCAAGTAGGAAAATGCCCAGTCGTACAGCGCTGGGCCCTAGGCGCTGTATAGTGAGCGGACTGAAGGTTGAATAGAAAGACAATAGGTACGACTTATATATATAGGAGAGTTTTTTTTTATAGATACCCAGTTGGTGTTGGTTGGATCATCCCAGGCAGGAAGGCCCCACTTCATAGCGAGAAGAGGGAATGATGGAACGATGAGCATTACTCAATATATTAGTAGTGAATATCTTCGTGATGATAGTCAAGGGCCAAGTGTTCGGATATTTGAAGTTGTAGTTCTCTGGTGAGAGAGTTTGAAAGACAGCAAGGAGACTAAAGATATTAGTGCTATCATTTTTGTAACGGAATATCACTTATACCTACTAGATGAATCCTATATCCAGGGTTCTAGCGTTGTTAATAGAGTATAATGAGATAGATGTATTATTTAATTATAATAGTTGATATAATTGTAGAGTATTCCTGTAACTACCTACATAGCAGAATGAAGATACAACTATTAGTACTCACCTTTCGGGGGCTATACATTAGGATAGCAATCAACTTCATATGGTTGCTCTTAAATTTGGAAAATCTTGCCATCTTAAATTATGAATGCCTCTGTATAAGTTAGGTCTATTTACGCATTGCCGATCTCATATTCTAAACGATCGAGTGTTTGCAATTAGTTATCTCAAGTCCCTATATCCAAACAAAGGAGAGCTCAATCATCAACTACGTGAAGCTTATGGGATTTATTTTCCCAGTCTTTAAGCTTTATTCGTATAGTTAGCAAATGCCCATATCTGGAGTAGTTTAGTCTCGCGTAAGAATATTATATTTAGTTGTGTTGTTAGTCTTTAGTATAGTCGTTTGGATATATTAAGTTCGCAAATAATACGACCATATCTAAAATCATATAGTATTTCATTGGAGGGATATTAATAAATAACATACCATGCTTATTGATTTTAGTATTTATTAAAGGTAGGTTCATATATAATTTCCAATGAACTTAATATATATATAGTTGTTTTCAGATGTAAATGTATAGCAGTATACATAAGGGGGAATAATCGCCTTTACCTAGTTAAAAGCACCTAATAAGGGGGTAAAAAGCAATAGTAAATAAGACTAGCGTGCTAATAAATAAAGTTCGATCATGTGGGCGATGGCAATTCATATTCGCCGACCACGCGGGCATTTACGCCGTCTATTCCAATCGCCGAATTCCTCGGCTACTACTACTCGGGGACTAACCTAGTAGTTCTGACCCATAAATAGACAAATCGGTGGCATTAATGGCAAACAACTCTTCCATCTACTTAAATCAACGACGCCCCAGCGTACCGAAAAGAACAGAGAAAAAAATTCAACTGCCGCAATTATCTATCGAAGTCATATTAGTTACCTACCTATTAATACCTACATAAAGAACTATCTTATCTCAGACATCAGAATAATCCCGTCACAATGTGCATGAAAGCCAACTGCTCCACTTGCCGTAAGTTACAAAGAGTAGACGAAAACTCATTGAATCTATACTATCTTTGATATATACCTAACATGCCTCTCGCTAGACAAAACCACATGGATCGGTTGCGGAAGTCATATTTCCTCCGTCCTAGACAACATTCCACCGCAAGACTGGTGCGTCTGTGAGCCTAAGGTCGAGGTGAACGACAAGAAGTATCCTCCGGGGGCTAAATTTTAATTCGAACCGAAATATATGGGCAGGTTTATGGAGTGATGATGGAGTTGCAACGGTAGAAATCAGAGATTAGCATAGATTAGGATGAGAATTGAGAATTGAGAATTGACAAATGCACTAATATAATAGTTGAAGATTGAATTTTAACTCTATTTCGTCTATCAAAACGGTGGATACGCCTTGCTATGCCCATCTATGTTCATCTATGTTATGCGCCATGCTGTCGTTCACAAACATTAATATATCATAATCTATTCCATCTTCGTCTAGATCTTTTGACCTTTTTGCCACTGTGCTCTAGAGTACTGGATGGGCCACTTCACCTCAACACCCAACTCGTGTGCGACACGTAGAGTGAACTCCGGCTCCCGCAGATATTGCCGAGCGACCAGCACAATATCCGCCTGCGTAATCTGTCCTGCTTCCTCGCCGACCTCGGCACTGTCGTGCGCTGTAGCACCCTGAGTCAACGACTTACCCTCTTGGACAATTGAGCGCGCCATTTCGGCAGTTGTGATGAGTCCGACTGCACCGATAAGGAGATTCAGATTCTCCTTTTTAATAGCCTCGCGAATCTTGCCCGCAAGGTCGATCTGGTAGTACGGGTGTACGTTGAGCTTCGCCCTATCGCTGTTGCCTCCCGAGCTGACGTCGAGCAGGTCAACACCGGCAGCAGGGAGGAGCTTGGCGAGGCGAATGCTTTCTTCAAGGTTCCAGCTAGGCTCGTCGGACCACTCCATCCACTCGGTCGCCGAAATGCGCACGAATAGGGGCATGGTCTCGGGGATAACGCTACGGATTGCCTCGATGATCTCGAAAAGCAGGCGAATGCGGTTTTCAAAGCTACCGCCGTAGTTGTCCGTTCGCTTGTTGCTGAGTGGCGAGAGGAACTCTGTTATGAGATACCCGTGGGCGGCATGGATCTCGATGACGTCGATACCGGCCTCGACGGATCTCCTGGCTGCGTCCTTGAAGGCTTGCACGAGGGTCTTGATGTCCTCGATAGTCATGGCTTTTGGGTCCGGAAAATTCTTGGTGTACTTAATGGCGCTAGGCGCCCATACGTTGTCACCCCAACCGCCCTCTTCAGGGGAGGCGAGGGCGCCTACAGAACCATCGGTGACAAGCCAAGGGGCTAGGGTACTGGCCTTGCGGCCGGCGTGGGCGAGCTGGATACCAAGCTTTTGACCCTGGGAGTGAGCAAAATCCGCAATACGCTTCAGGCCTGCTATCTGGCTATCTTTCCACAGACCGAGATCGTCGGGGCTGATACGGCCGTTGGGGGTAACACTGGTGGCCTCAATGATTGTCAGGGGAGTACCGTGAATTATGAATTGGGACAGATGAGAAAAGTGCCAATCAGAGGCATGTCCGTCGTCAGCACTATATTGACACATAGGGGCGACGACGAATCGATTTTGCAATTCCACGCCCCGGATCTTTATCGGCTTAAATAGGGTCGGAGCTGAGGCCGGGTCCAAGGCCGATCCGGCAGGAGGGTTTTGGGCCGGCGTCCAGTAAGGGACATTGGGGGCCGGCTTGTGAAATGTGGACGACATGATTATCCGTATACGACTCGGAAGGATCAGCTAAGATTTTCGATGTAATAGAGCGTATGCAGTCAGACTCCCAAAGAGAATCGAAAACAGTCTTGGCGTGTATTACGAGGATGATAAAGGGGCGGTATCAACTCGGTTCAATGAGGGCCGAAAGAAAAATAAGATAGCTGTGTATTACCGGCTTTTCGATACTTCGGATGAGATCAAGTTTACTATCATTTTGGAATGAAGTTATTTTATATATGTAGCTATGCTACCATGGTCCGTAGAACCAAGGAGGCAATAATGGGGGACCCTCATCTATCATCTCCATCGTGCTTACATTTAGAATTGCGTAGAAAGAAAGGGGAGAAAGAATGGCCGTCCAATTGGGGCATTTAGAGACTAATTTAGTATGGTAGTACCTACATAGATGGTGTTATTCGAATATTCTATTCCGAATTGCTGAATAATTATTATAACATTAATAAAAAAAGATATTAATAACACGAGAATGTCTATGGAAGCAGCTAGTGTACGGAATACCTAAAGGAAAGTGCCGTTTTTAATTATCCGAACTGAGTCGAATAGCGGAATATAGTGGAATTGATGACGTTACCTAAACTTGTGTTACGGTTGCGATTGCATAGCGGATATTTTAATAGGCAAGTAGGTGGACCAAAAAAAGATAATTTTCTTTTTTTTTACCTATCGCTCCAATCGCAATAGTCACCGAAATATCTCCTAAACAACTTCTAAGATCCCAAAGTCAGGAATCGTATCCACTATAGATGTCCACTACATACACTACACTTCCACTACATAGTCATTATTTATTACTATCATCTCGTGGCGTGCCAGATTTGAAGAATTCTCTCTTAGTCTATTGCGGTAGTTTCCGCTTCTCATTGCCGTCTTGCCGCCCTTCCTTAACGCCGAGTAACACTCAAAGATGCAACATGCCTCCTTCGGCAAGTCTCGTATAAATGATCCTTTATCACTCGGTAGTAGTTTACACAGGCGTTTCCAGTATCAATATTACCTTCTCTGATTTATCGATCTATTACTTCATAATATATATATATAGGTATATATATCTATTGTCAAGTCACACAGAGACGCGCAGAAGTCCAGAGCGTGTAAGAAAAATGTCAGGAAGTGGGGATGAAAAGGGACCGGATCTCGATTTGTCATAAGCCCGTCTAGATGCGGATAGATATCTAACTAGTTACAGCCGTCTACTCTAAGTACGGACGAACCTGCATATTAAGCAACCCCTAAGACATATAGGACGTCTAGCAGCTTATCGCTAACTACATAGTTAATAGAGAGGCTATGCTCTCGGACGAGTCGCAGGTTTTTCTAGAATGTCTCAGATACACGCTTGTTGACAGAGCATAGCCCATCGTCAGTTTCCCCTTCGCTATGAGGTGCTAACGGTATGTAGTTGTAGTTCGAGACAAGTACGGGGTCGGTCATCTAAACCGAACTAGAATTGCACGTGTAGGAACGCCATCCTAGCCATCCTTGTCCTTATCCCGCATCAGGGGCCGAACCTGAAGCAGCCACTCAGATCCGCCGCCTCCGAATCCACCGGCGATCGTGTCACAAATCGCTGCTAGCACCCCCTTGTTCCTCCTCCCCCCGTTACAGGGCTTAACATGGGACGAATCTTCTTATCCGTGTTTCGTGCCGTGATACTGCAGTGTCGCTATGATGCAACGGGTTCATACACTGTCAATGCGGTACAAGTACATAGCAAAATGCGGGATGCCCTCGTAGCCCTGAAGCTCTTAGCAAAGAGTCCAGGCTCCACTACCCGAGACTTCTGAGGAACCCATCCAACGCCTCGGGGCCCTGCCAAGACGTTTATCGGATTGAGACTCACCCGTACCAAAGTTGGCCTATCCAGCCGCTGTTCAGCTTCGATTAGCTTAGCAAGTGTCCAAGTTAGATTCTTTTCTCTTCCTGTAACTATATCGTCGTGATACTGTCATTCGCTCTCTTTCGTATCTTGTGTGTTGGGTACAAAGTCGATAACCTCGAAAGAAAAATAAACATGCTGAGAGGAAGATTTGTCGATAGAAAAGCTTCGGCTGCTTCTCTGAATTCGTAAGTTACAAAGTATTCTTCTATATAAGTAGGCGAATGGAATGTAATGAGTTAACTTTTCTCTCCTCGTTTAGACTTGCCGGTCCAACCACGGTCAAGATACTCGTTGGTCCAGATGGCCAGGAATTCCTCGTTCCGAGAAAACTCCTGGCATCATCATGCAACTACTTCCGGCAGCATATAGACAATGCGCGCGTTAAATTCGAAAAGGGACAGGCTCACGTCATCGTCGTCTTGGAAGATCAAGAACCACCCATGTTCGAGTTATTCGTATACTGGCTGAATGAGCGGAAAAACTTCGACAAGTTCATCGATGCCGCTGAGGCCGACCACTCCTGTCAGGAACTCCACAACAATTTAGTTCTGCTACACATATTCGCCGCCCAGATAGATATTCCCGCCTTACAAGACTGTGCTATGGATGCTATACAAGATGTATACCTTCGAAAGAATTGGGATATCAGCACAAAACTAATCAGATTCATTTATACCTCATGTGACCCCCAAGAGAGCTGCCGACTACGAAAGTGGATCGTGGCTATGACGGCGTGGACACTTGGAGGCGTAGTTACGACCGAAATGTCGAATAGCATCCAACGCCTCTTCGAGAAATGTCCTGACTTCTGGGCCGAATACAACAACCACACGCGCAAAATGGCGCAAACCGGACTCGAGGGTCAATTCAAAAATCCCCAGCTTAGACTCCCTTCCAACAACCTCCGCGGCGAAGAGCGTCAGTTTGGTTTCCGCCAATGCTCGTTCCACACGCACCGATCGACTGCTGGACAAGGACGATGTCCTCACACAGCCTCGCTCTCGCCGCCCATCCCATCCCCATATACAGACGGCTACATCGAGTCAGATTCAGACCGAGGCGATTCAAGGTTTGGATCATCACGCATGGTTTCCCCGAGCAGCGATTCGAGGTTTGGGTCGCGGATGGTTTCCCCGTGTAGCGATACGATACCCGAGTCCGACTTAGAGACCTCGTGAGACCCCGCAGTCTAGATACCACCCGAGCGCAGCTTCGACGAAGCCTTTGTATTTCTATTAGGATCTGTACTATGTACAACTAGGGGGGGGGGGGGGGGGGGGGGTTAGGCAGCGTCTAACCGACGGCTTTGGTCTGGGCGTTGTGTTTGTCTCTACATTTGTTTTACGATATCATCTACGCCTTTGTCCGAGGTAAAATTCTGTGGCCGGAACAGTATAACAGGAACATACCTTATGTGCCCACAAACCGTCGGGTAGGCTCAAACTTACAGGCCTACGCAGTAGACATCACGGCTACTATTATCATATATTTCGATCTTCCTATACCCACGAAACCGTCAGCGTGTTCAGTTTATGTCCACACTTAAGCCACGATGTCTACAGCAAAGATCCAAACTCGCCCCCTCGCCCCAGGTCATTTACGACGAATAAGACCACTACTCCAGCAGAACCAATTACCCATTACCCGGGCCAAGCAGCTCACTATTTTTGTACACATACCCAAGGAGATAATTTCCGATGGGAGTTCTTAGTATATAATTTGTAATTATAATGAGCGTATTTTAGCCTTTTATGGCTTGTATCTGTGCTTATGTATGAGTGTACTAATAATGCCTATCTCGTTGGTAAACCAATCTACAAAAGCCGCTATTAAATATATACTTGCGACAGCCACACTTAGTTTAGTATATACATTCAGTTATTATAAGTTCCTCCCAGAGCAGACATAATTATCTCCTCCATTATATCCGATCTCTTTACGCAAACATCATCCGTGATGTTTTAAGGGACAAGTCTTAGCCTAAGCAATACCAATCACGCAAAGTAGGTCATTGCCACCGGGCGAGACTATGCATAAGGAGAGAGCCTCGACTGGATCACAACATGTAGAAAAATCTAATAGTCAAGTCTAGTTAGTATCCTACCCAAAGTTATGTACGGATGAAGGCAATCACTCTACTCACTTCGTTAATCCAGCTAGCGAGGTTTCCTCTGATTTTCTTTCCAGAATTTTGATCTGTTCAATGCTTTGGGATAGGTTGAAAAGCCTGGGTTTAAGAATATAAGGTGACTTGAACGTCAACTAGCAGCTGGGTGGGAACTAGAATTAAGACACTTAAATTTGAGATGCCTGATAGTTCATATAATTGTAAGGACAGTTCTGTTGAGGGTTTGCTTTGTACTGCCGTGCTTGTTGTGGATTTCCCTTTCGTAACGTAAGAGGCCGCCAGCATACGTAAATCCAGTAAGCTTCTCACACCCCGACAGCAACCACCTGGACTTTCTGTAGTATCTGTTATATGCATTGGGGGTTGATTGTTTATATGAGCATTGTTGATAGGTGATAGGAGTATATATTGGTCACCTCATTTAACTCGTCGTGTTTGGTATGTAACTTCTTAGGGATCTGCGGTTTGGGAGGTATATTGTGCCTTGTTGCTCAGGACGCAAGAGGCCGTCGGAATACGTAAATCCGGCAAGCTTCTCACATCCCGACGACAAGCACTTATACGGTCGGCTGTGCTTGTCCATGTGCTTGCTAAAAAGAAGTTATTAGGGCTTGTTATCAGGGATGTAAAAAGGGTTGGGTTATATCCTACCTCCATTTGCACTTCCGACCGACCGCTTTTACATCTTCCGTAATCTTCACACCGTCGGAGTAGCCGGGCAATGAGTAAGGGAACACTTCCTCATAATTATCAGTTGCTATCTTTAATATCTATCCCGTTAGGCTTAAAGGGAAAACCCAAGCAGTGAAGATGAGTGTTCTCCTCGCAGTTATTAGTGAGCTTAGCGATAATTTCCAGAAAGTCGACAGTTGGCCTATGGGAGGGGGCATCATATTGTCCCCGATTTTGACATCAAATTTATTCGGCCGCTTAAGATATCCAAGTTAGCTTTAGTGATGATGGGAA